GTATAGGTCTTAACAGTGGTACATGTATAAAGTACCATGTGGTCTCAAACTCATGTGTGAAGTTAAATTTTAAAGTCTTCAGTATTTCATGAGAAAACAGTTTTAAGTGAATTCTTTTTATGCTTAATGCTTTAAGAACAGCAAGCAAAAACCTGAACCCAGTGATAACCTATCACAAATGCTGGTATGAAAATAATAGCTTGCATGTCCTTTTAATAGCTGAGCTCAAGATTTACAACTGAGAATATAGTAGAATGTGCAAGAAATATTAAATTATAAATAGAAAAACTGACTGGTCTACACCTGACATTTCAAGACTGGACAAGACAGAAGCAAACTTGAAAAAGTTTTGTTGATAAATGCCTGTATTGTGCTGGTATGTGATTTAAAATCTCATAATTCTTTATTCTTTCATTTGCTCGCTCAACATGGATCCTACTTCTTCCAATCCTAAAACAAAGTTGTGCCTCCTCTTTGGTAAAATGACCTTTGTTTGACAGGAAAGGAGGGATATTTAAGGAAACAACAGCAGGTAGTTTATCAAAAATATTGAAACCCTTATCAGCCAGTATCATGTCCCCTGGTTTTAGCTTATCAAGCAACCTGGAACGTTCTACAATGGCTGCATCAGAAGTTGAACCAGGGTACAAATCAGAACAATATACCAATGCTGCATTTGGAGCTACACATGTTACAGCTTTGACAGTATGCCTACTTTTATAGTTACTATAGGAAAGAGATTGACAAATCATGTCTGATGGAACATCTTGAATAACTTCTGTAGCATCCATTGTTATTCTTTAAAAGACTTTGGCATAGACCACTTACATTTTAACTGGCTAGGTATACCGACAGCTTTCAAGGCACCATCACATAAAATTCCATGTAGAGCAGGAATGTAAGTATTCATGATATTTGAAACAGTTGCACGGCTTGTGTTAAATCTCTCTGCTAAATCTAAATCCCTACAGTTGAGCCTTAATTTCATGAGAGTCATAAACAGCTGGTCTTCTATGCTAAAGCAATTGACAGTCCATCCTGCATAGTAGTTAAATGGTGACATTCTTCTCAGCAAGTCGGCTAACACATTAAATACATCAGCTTGAAGTGAAGTATACAGCAACATCTGTCAATATAAATGATAAGAGTACCGCAAAGCAGAACAAAACATGTCAGTGAATATCCAAAACAAAGAAGATAATTCAAGAATTACAGTCCCCCACCTGGCGTACTTTTATGGAAGTCAAAGGTCGAAGTCAAGGTTACAGTGACTTACTTTTGGGATGACCATATTCTTCCAAACAAGTAAGATTTTAGAGAATTGGCTAAATTTCCTATAAAGGGCCCAGACCCTTCTTTATACAAAATTTTATCCCCTTTAGCCAAGGATGCTTCTTAACAATTTTGGTGGAAATTGATTTTGTGGTTCAAGAGAAGAAGGGAGTTATAGGATAAATTGGCAGATGATGGATGCTGTGGTATCCCGTAAGGTCACTTGGCCAACATCCAAATATTTCAAATGGTAGACATGTGCTGCATATACTTTAGTCCTAACATATTATGGAAACCAAAAGCGAAATAATATCTTTCATGTTGCCAAGTAACAAAACATTATGCTTTAAAATACTAAAATTTCAGGTATGGAGGAATCTAGCATAAAATAATTACTTAAAGGTTAACCTTGTCTGTGTCATGAATGATGTCCTGTATTTTCGTTCTTGGTTTTTTCAGTTTAAGCATCTCTACTTCTTTTTTCGAAGGAAGCATCCTCCTCTTCCAAGTCTTGAACTTTGAAAAAAAATCATTGGCTTTATATTCTTGGTACATATAAATTTGCACTAAAAACTCCATTCTTTGCTACTCATCTAAAACGAAAGTTTAGATGGACTTGAAAGCACTATAATTCATAAATACCTGATTTCACTTTTACTGTCTGTACTTCAACATTATCCCCACAGTCAGGAATATGGTAGCTGTGATCTAGTGTTGCTAATTCCTTTGTAACAGATTTGTCGCTGTCGAAAATCACCTCACCATCCAATTCAACTTTTGGTCTTTTTCGTCTGTAGGAAAAATCAAATAAAGTGACATTTCCTTTTTTGTACTTTAATCTTAAGTTAACGTGAGGGGCAATATTTACATAATTATCATATCGCTATAGTATAAGCCATGAGCGAAAAGGTAACAACAAATTGTAAGCAACAGACAACTTTAAATACTGTATTTATCCTGAAATAAGCTAAGGGGGCCAGTATATAATATTGGATCATTAATTGGGAGTGTTGTCCCCCCTCCCCACCCTCCTCCAACTGCGATGTTGGTTTCCCCCCGATATGTCTATAGGATTGTAGTTCCCTCCAACTGTGGTGTTGCTTTCCTTCCGATATGTCTATAGGATTGTAGTTCCCTCCAACTACGGTGTTGCTTTCCTTCCGATATGTCTATAGGATTGTAGTTCCCTCCAACTGTGGTGTTGGTGTTTTTCTAAAACTGACGTAAGTGACGTGATTGCCCCTGAGGTTCTGTCAAATCTGCTTACCTCGTCTAATGCTCAAGTCGACAGATGTCCCGCCAAATTGGTGACATCATCTGTCCGTGTAATGACAGAGATATACCCTTCTTCACAACGGTATCATTAGTTAATTGTGTTAAAGTAATCCTGTTAAAATCAATTCGGACCAATACACATCAATCTGCTGCTAGAGTTGAGACCTTAATATACATTATATAAATTTGATATCCACTTAATATCCCAGGGCATAAAGTACGCTTAGATTGTGAACATGAACAGGAAGTGAAATATGTTTCTTTTTTAACTTTAGTTCGAACACGTGAGTTTTATCAATAAAAGCAATAATTTTCTGTCTATTAATAGTTCGAAAACCTCTCTAGTTTGCTTCACTTACTTTTCATTATTTTGGGCAATGTCGACCCTAAACGTTCGAACTCTTATTTATTCAGACTCGATGGGAGAGTTTGAAACGTCAAGACATCGGAGTAAAACATTGTGGGGCTCGATGGGATTTTCAAGACATCTGTGAAAAGAATTCAGACTCGATAGAATAGTCTGAAACGCCAAGATAGTCTTTCGTTTTAATATCAATTCGTCGTTTTTGTGTAAACTTCGGTCTGAATTTGTTTACCGCTGCTTCTATTGAACGTAGTCTGTAGACATCTGAGTATATAATCTTTCGTTATAATAACAGATGGGTATCAATTTGTGTAAACTTCGGTCGGGAAATGTGTCTAACGCTACTTCCACTAGGGGTATTCTGTTATTTCACGCTGATTTCTTCATTTAGAAAAGCTTTATGATACCATCGTACATAGGTTAACATGATAATAATCAAATCTGGCCTAGTGTCATCTGTATTTTCCAATAGTGTTAGCATTTTGTATTTACGTAGTAACCTTGCTCCTTTATAAGGGTCTAGACATTTGCCAAACCAGATTATATGTAGTCCGAATAATGCTTTAAACTATGTCACACTGTTGTACCGTCTTGTCAGGACTCCTCAGTAACACTAAGGGTTTAAAGCACAAGAACGGCTCTTCTAATCTGTGATGCGTCAATATTTCAAAACGAAATAGCTTAAAGGTACAGCAGTATTGCCCTTTGGCTAAGGTTTCTCTGTCCCAGCTTCCATGCGGGTTTAATGTTGCTTTACGTCCTGTTAACAGCAAAGGTCATTAAAGGACGTGTCAAGTCTGGATGGTGGCGGAAAGCCGGAGAAAAACCATCCTGTGCGATCAGTACCCATGAACGCCTCGAACCAGCAATCCAGAAGTAAAGGGCTAGTGATAAAGACGGTGAGACGCACTAGCCACTAAACTATCGCGGCCCTGGTGATATCATGGACGACATACGCTGCTATCCTCGAGAAGAACCCCTTATTCATGACGTAGAACACATTGTACACAGATACATATTACGAGACAACAGGAGTAACTCTCACACACCTAACGCACCTGTGGTGGCTGTCTAGTATATTGATAGACTTATACACGGCATCTCCCTTCTTAAATCACATCATGGTAATACTTTTAAAAGAAACTGGCTGGAACATGTAAACTAATTTGTATTCACTTGCAAATTCAAGAAATAAACATGAATAATACATTCTTATAATAGGAATGAAATACTGAGATGGTAATTTAGCATTAAGCCTAAATTGTGTCTCTTTATATTATTTACATTGTATTATCTTTCCCACACACACACTTTCAAACATTTATACTTTACATTTCACAAATTTATAAAACAAAATAATATGAACGAATGTTGTGATTTTAAAACCAATGTTCTTATAGTTACCTCACTTACTTAAAAAAAATTAAAAGGAACTCTATGTTTGCGAATGGATACTAATATGTTCGACACAATATCATTATAGAATGATATTAATATCATCGAATTATTGTTCGAAATAAACCGGTTTCATTGTCTTGGCACTTACTAGTCATCGAAACGTTTTGGTTTGTGTATTGTTCTACCACTCACACTATTTATCCGTTCTGGCACGACATTTGTTGGTTGCTTGGATACAGGTTTTTCCATAGCAACACCTGTGTCCTTGGTTACCGGGTTAGATTTTGGCAATAATTGTTCATGTCGGGTTTCGGCGCGTTCCTGTGGTAACACCTCGATTTGCACTGCTGGAGATGGAGTTTGTGCAACAGGTAAATTTGCATACGCGTATGGTTGTTGGTAGAATTGTTCATCACTAAAGTTCTCGCGCGATTTGAGAATGTCTCTCCTGTTCCTCCTGTAGGTTCGACCTTCACTTTGCAGAATATGTGACTTTGGAGTGTCATCATAACCAACACACTTCGCTGGTGTCCAGGTTTTTCCAGTGTGAATCCTGACATGTTCATTGAGTTTAACGTTCGGCATTTGTTTCACTCCTACATTGTAGTACTCCTTTTGCATTACTTGGTTTTTCTCCACACCTTTACAAATCAGTTTATGAGATCCATCTCTCGGTTTCAATAACGATTTCTTAATGGGAATGAATGATCTCGTTTTGCGTCCCATTAACATTTCTACTGGTGATAGATCCACACCGTGAATTGGTGTGATTCGCAGCTCTAACAATGCAATTTTCTGGATCGCGGTTGTCCTCCTTTGCTTTTTTCAGCAGCTTTTTTGCCGTTTGTACGGTCCTTTCCGCAAAACCGTTGCTGTGTGGGTATTTAGGTGAAGATGTTACATGTCTGATGCTGTATTCATTCATGAACACTTGAAATTCAGCCGACGCGTATTCGGGACTGTTATCCGTTCTCAAAACTTCTGGAATACCATGACGGGCGAAATGCGATTTCATGTGCTGAATCACAGTTGAACTTGTCACATTCGGAATATTTGATATTTCAAAATATTTGGAAGAGTAATCAGCTAGAATCATATATTTCTCACTACCCATATAGAATATATCACTTGCTAACTTTTGCCACGGCCTATTTGGAATTTCCTCCTGAATGATCGGTTCCTTCTGCTGATAAATTCGGTGTTTTTGACATATCGGACAATTTTCCACTTTGCTCTTTATGTCTTTTGACATTCCGACCCAGAATAAGCTTGATTTTGCTAGCTCAAGACATTTCACAATTCCAAGATGGCTAGCATGGACCTTCTCTAACATTTCATTTTGTAGTGACAGGAGTGTTATAATTCTATCTCCCTTCATGAGAAGACCATCACACAAATTGAGCTCGTCGCGAATGTTCCAATATACATCAAGATCATTTGGAATCTCACTCCTGTTGTCCGGCCATCTGTATTGCACGTGTTGTTTCACTTTCGACAATATCGGATCGTCGGTTTTACCAGCTGATATGCTCGCTAATCCGTGTTTTTCGAATTCCTCGGCTTTTGGTGAATCTTGTAACGGTGCATGACTTAACGCGTCCGCGATGTAAAGCTCTTTTCCCGGAACTTATTTCACACACAGATTGTAATTTTGAACTTTTAGCATCATTTTTTGAATTCGCTGTGGAGCCTGGATAAGAGATTTCTTGAACAAACTTTCCAACGGCTTGTGATCCGTTTGTACATTCACTGTATCTTTCCCGTAGATATATTGATGAAACTTTGTTGTACCGAAAACTATTGCTAGCATCTCTTTTTCCGATTTGTGCATAGTTCCTTTCGGCAGAATTTAGTGACCTTGATGAAAAGGCAATTGGTTTGCCATTCTGCATCAGACATGCGCCCAGACCTGTAGACGACGCATCTACTGACACTGTCACCTCCTCCGACTGATTGTAATACTGGAGAACTGGTGCATTTGATATCAGGCCCTTCAAACGCTGAAATGCCTGTTGGACACTCTCATCCCAGTGTCACGCTACATTTTTCTTTGGGAGCTCATGTAGTGGAGTGTTCACCGTAGCTAGATCAGGAATAAATGTTTGAAGATAATTCACCATACCTAGCAGTCTCTGTAAACTTTTGCGTCATTGGGCTCTGGCATTTTCAATATTGCCTCAACTCTTGCTTGATTCGGCTTCAGACCATCTGACCCAAATGTATGCCCAACGTAGTCAACCTCGTCCTGGTTAAACTTACATTTCTCACTGTTGAATCGTAGATCAACATCTTCTGCTTTTTGTAGAACAGTTTCTAAACGCGTGTTGAGCTCATCTTCATCCTTTCCCCAGATGAGTATGTCGTCAATTATCACTTCACTACCAGATACATTCTCAAAGATCTGACTGGTTTCTTTCTGAAATACTTCACTGGCTGAGTTTATACCGAATGGTAATCACTCAAATTTAAAATGGCCAAAAGGAGTGTTGAACGTCGTCAGCCACGTACTTTCTTCGGCCAACTTGATGTGAAAGAAACCTTGTGACGCATCCAGTTTTGTAAATAACTTTGCATCCTGTAGTTTTGCAGCAACTTCCTCCACGGTTTTCATCGGAAAATGTTCCCGTTTCACTGCCTTGTTTAGACAAGACTTTCCATACGGAGGACAATTTCTCGGCGGATGTTTGAAACCACATTTTTTACACTTGAACTTTTTCTTTTATTCAGGTTTGGGGGTTTGTGGCGCAGCTTTCTGTTCAACTTAGTTTTAGAAGATGGATGTTTTTGTTTTATACCATGTATGCCTTTGCACCCAGAGAATCTTTTATTTGCATCTCACTGGCTTCTAAAGCACGACAAAATTCTACACATTTGTCCAATGTCAAGGCAGTTTCTCGTAAAAGCCGTTCACGCAAATGGATATTTCGTATCCCGAAAATAATATTGTCTCCGAGTGTGGAGAATTCACAGTTTTTTGCTTTCGTTTTCAAGTCTGTGACGTAAGCATCTATCTTTTCACCCTCTTTCATGTTACGAGTGAAGAATACGTGACGTTCATATGTAATGTTCTTTCTTGGAATACAATATGATTGAAACTTCTCGTATATCTTATCAATGTCTTTCTTGTCGTCATCATGGTCAAAGACAAACGTATTGAAGACATCGTGTGCGGCAGGACCAGCAACGTGCAGAAAATTGTAAGCACGCACCTTATCATCTTCTGTGTCAATTTTCGCGGCTACCTCGTATATTTCGTAGGCCTGCTTGAACCTTCGCCAGTTCTCTGACAAATTGCCAGTAAATTGCAGTTCATTGGGAGGTCTTAACCTGTCCATTTTCTAGTTTCTTCTGACACCATGTGATATCATGGACGACATACGCTGCTATCCTCGAGGAGAACCCCTTATTCATGACGTAGAACACATTGTACACAGATACATATTACGAGACAAGGGGAGTAACTCTCACACACCTAACGCACCTGTGGTGGCTGTCTAGTATATTGATAGACTTATACACGACAGCCCCTTCCAGCTTATGATCTATGGCACCAACAATGAAACTATATCTATGAAAAATAAACACCTGTTAACGATATCGCCCCGCGTGTTAACTTTGAAAAATATACACCTGTTAACGACATCGCCGCGCGTGTTAACTTTGAAAAATATACACCTGTTAACGACATCGCCACCCATGTTAACTATGAAAAATATACATCTGTTAACGATATCGCCACCCGTGTTAAATATGAAAAGCATACATCTGTTAACGATATTGCCACGCGTGTTCACTATCAAAAATATACATCTGTTAACGATATCACCACGCGTGTAAACTATGAAAAATAAACATCTGTTAACGATATCGCCACGCGTGTTAACTATGAAAAATAAACATCTGTTAACGATATCGCCATGCGTGTTAACTATGAAAGCATACATCTGTTAACGATATCGCCACGCGTGTTAACTTTGAAAAATAAACATCTGTTAACGATATCGCCACGCGTGTTAACTATGAAAAATAAACATGTTAACGATATCGCCACGCGTGTTAACTATGAAAAATATACATCTGTTAACGATATCGCCACCCGTATTAAATATGAAAAGCATACATCTGTTAACGATATCGCCACGCATGTTAACTATCAAAAATAAACATCTGTTAACGATATTGCCACCCGTATTAAATATGAAAAGCATACATCTGTTAACGATATCGCCACGCATGTTAACTATCAAAAATAAACATCTGTTAACGATATTGCCCCCCGTGTTAAATACGAAAAGCATACATCTGTTAACGATATCGCCACGCGTGTTAACTATGAAAAATAAACATCTGTTAACGATATCGCCACGCGTGTTAACTATCAAAAACATACATCTGTTAACGATATCGCCCACGCATGTTAACTATGAAAAATAAACATCTGTTAACGATATCGCCACGCGTGTTAACTTTGAAAAATAAACATCTGTTAACGATATCGCCACGCATGTTAACTATGAAAAATAAACATCTGTTAACGATATCGCCACGTGTGTTAACTTTGAAAAATAAACATCTGTTAACGATATCACCACGCGTGTTAACTATGAAAAATAAACATCTGTTAACGATATCGCCACGCGTGTTAACTATGAAAAATGTACATCTGTTAACGATATCGCCCACTCGTGTTAACTATGAAAAATTAACATGTTAACGATATCGCCACGCGTGTTAACTTTGAAAAATAAACATCTGTTAACGATATCGCCACGCGTGTTAACTATCAAAAATAAACATCTGTTAATGATATCGCCACGCATGTTAACTATCAAAAATATACATCTGTTAACGATATCGCCCACTCGTGTTAACTATGAAAAATAAACATCTGTTAACGATATCGCCACGCCTGTTAACTTTGAAAAATAAACATCTGTTAACGATATCGCCACGCGTGTTAACTTTGAAAAATAAACATCTGTTAACGATATCGCCAAGCTTGTATGCTGATCCGAAGGCTTAAGGTATGAAAGATATGTTGTAATTATATTGATCAGTGATTTTGATACGATTTTCAGAGTTTAATTCAATAGTAAAACTACTTTCACTCTTCCATCTTCGAATACATAATGTACATAGAACAATGTAGATTTATTAAGACTTCGACTGCAGTCGACTGAATGGATCTATACTTAATTTTCTTGTATCTTTTGATATTTGATTTCTCCTAAATCTAGACAGTAAAGTGAATTAAGTCATAGTGGGTAGCTCTATCAATCTGTCGCCATTTATAGTCACCGATACAATGATATTCCCTTCTTTGATCCTGTAGATACCATCCAAGTAGGGTGATAGGAAAAATATATCAAGGGAGACAATTAAGTGTGTAGTATCGATATGTCCTTTGTAACTTACCAGCTATATTCCTGAGAAAGAGCCACCACCTCTCCTATTGTAACATCATCACGAGATTTTTCGATTATTTTCGTAAGCGTTGGCAACACTACCTCATTTACATATGAATTATGTTCTTCTTGGAAGTTGGATTTAAAGATGCCGTCGAAGATGAACATTACGATACTCATCCTTGTTTTTAAATTATGTTCATTTTTGCTACATGTCTATGGGATTCCAAACATCAAAGAAAAATTGAAGTATGATATTTAAAACGCATGTTTCATATTTTGTTAGACACCTGTCTTCCCATCGAAATGGATTAAGTTTTTTCAATTCACTTTTTAAATTAGGAACCTGATATATTCATTTCGAAGCAATTATTTCAGCTGTATAAAAAAAACACTCAAATTTGTTGCACTTTTCACTACAATTAGTATTACGTACATAGTCAGATAATAGATTAACCTACGTTATACAGAACGTTTCGTCCATTCAGAACTCATCAGTGATTCTGACGTAATTGATTCATCGATCTTGAAAAGTGTAAAAAGTGAAATTGTCCTGTTCCTATTTCGGTAATGCAAGGAAACAATGGCGGCAGATTTATATTGAGTGGAAGTGCCTCACGAGGAAAAGTCTGGGATTGTTCACGAAATGGATACTTCCTTTTCTTTACTGGAGGCTCGAAATTCATTTAAGTATCGACAAACATGTGACCAGAAGAGGTCACGTGAAAGTGAATAGGCACTGACGACGTTTTCAGTGGACACCCCCCTCGTTTTACCTGGATTATAGTGGATTGGCACAGATACATTGTTAGAATATGAAAGACACTATTTCTTCAACAGCTCGATACATACACAGGGTAACGTTCAAGGACATGTACACTAACATGTCTGATTTCCAAATTTATGACATTGACGTGTTGCGTTTGATCCGATATTCAAGGGTTTGTTTCCGAAATCACCAATTTCTTTGCGAGATGTCAACAACGATCAAGGACTTACATCAGTGGGATGCTAACGATGTTCACAGACGAATTTATTGGGGAAAACTTTGATGTTCGGCACAAGGATGTCTTTGAAAAATAGCCTACTTACTTCCGCTATATGAAGATGACCGTATTCGAAACTCATCGATATGCTGAGTGATTCCATTACTGTCAACTTTGTTCTCATAATTGACCTACAATACAGATGATTTTCTTCGCGGGTATCACCGATGAAGCAGAGGACAATTGCTTTTTCAGTGGTGTCCTTGTAAAACATATCTTGTATTGCCTTCGGTTGATCGATTTTGAGCAAGTCTTAAGATCAGAGTGACAAGTCAGGTTTTTCTTCTGTCCAGAATTGCAATCTGTTGAAGTATTTGGTAATTGTTGGTTGATGTACTGTACTGAATTTTTTTTTTTTTTTCTGATAAATGAAAATTATTAATTCTATGGAATTATTGGGCTAGTTAACAACGAATTAAACTGCATTGTACAGCTGAATCGTCCTTCTAGGACTTGTTTGTGGAGCCGAGAGCGCGACTTCACCAAGTGAACCGGAGAAAAGTAGGAATCTCAATGGAGATGTGCCATAACTCAATAATTCAGTAAATTCCGTGACCTAATAAATGTTTAAAAATAACGTTAAGTACAGTTCACTTGTATACAATATACATTCACTGAGGTAAAGGATGATATGACACCGATTTCTAGTTTTCCAATAATTACCGTAATTCATTTTTCCTTGTTATCCTCTGCCTATTAAACAACACAAAAACTCCAATATTAGGACTGTTTATAGTTTTTTTTTCTAAAAGAATATATTTAATTCAAATAGAAATAATATTTCTCTATGGATTATTTTCAAAAACGAAGACAACAATTCTCATTTTGTAATTAAGGCTCTTTATTATAAGTGCCATAATTAGTCATTTTTTAAAAAAATAAATTATGTAATGTCATCAGCAGTTCTATATTCTTTTTGGTGTATTTAAAAGAACGCAAAGCAAGTCAGACAGAAAAGTAAATGTACATTCGAGTGAAATATATATCATTCCTGAAACATTAAAATATATTGTTGTTTTCATTTCGTGTGAATAATAGCAAAACGTAATTCACAATAACAAATTTTCCTACATCCATCTGTTCATTATAAAATGCTGGAAGCTGAAGGTTATAAGACACATTGGCGTGGACTCATTTGAGTAATAGAGATTTAACGATTTCTGTTCAATGTATTCATTTTATACAGCTTTTCAGTCTGCAATGTGTTACAACAAGAGGCCTAGTGGCCCTTACGACCATCTGAGGTCAACGATATTGAATACAAAGGCTATAGGGTAAAGCGTTTTCAAGTGTCACGAAACAGAAATTCGATCTTAATGATGGTAAGACTTAAGTGAGAGTTTTAAGCCCTTGGGAGCATATAATTAATTTTATCTTAAGGTTTCAGCAAAATCATTGAAAATGGTTCAGGAACTTTTGAGGAGTCGAAAGTGTTAAAGTTTGCGGACGCACAACGCCGGACAAAATGCTATCTCAACAGGTCCAAATGAGGCCCAAGTGACCTAAAACGTTGTTTTGAGCTGCACTATAAAACACTTTTACAGTTTAATAGTTGATATGGTTTTTTTTTTCAAATTAATTAAAACATTAAGTAAAAAAAAATGGAAGTGTCATTTATATAATGATGTGAATATGTCGTGGAATTTCAGAAATAGAGAGGGAACTCTAATGAAACAAGTGACTAAACGGGCCTTCAACGTTCACCTTGTACATATATAAAAGTCAAATTTCATGCCTCTCGACCTTTTAATTAATTAGAAGTCATCTAAATGATTTTTGAAAATTGAGCCTTATGACTTGAATCGTCAGGCTTCATCCTAGGATCACACCAGTCAAATACCATGCCTTTGGGTATTTGCGTTAATGAGAAGAAGTCATTTAAATCTTTTTAAAAATTTTGAGCCCTGTGACCTAGATCATTTTTTTTCAAACTTTGCCAGGCTTCACCCTAGGAACACACGAACTAAATATAAAAGATTTGGTACATTACACATGTTCACATGAAGTTATTTAAAGGAAACACATTTGACGCCAGACGACGGACGAAGCACCACGCCAGATGATCTAAATAGAGGTGAATAACACTGTTCGAATGTATATTAATATCTAGGCATAAGTTTAAGTCTTATTCGGGAAAATTACTGTGCAGTCATGTTACAAAATCGCTGCCTTGGTCATCAAGTCGAACTTTTAAATTCAGGGGAAATAACAGGTATCCCAGACATAAATCTGGTTCTTGCAGATGGACGCTATTTTTAGATGGTTTCATATTGCTTTGCGTCTTGTATTACCACACTAAAGTATACTGTCGAAGGTCCTTCGGCTACTGTCACATTATACTGACAGCGACAAAAGTAAGTAAGTACCATTTTTTAGACTTCGGTATGTCCTCCTCACCGGAAGTGGCGAACACTCATCATATGAAGGCCAAAAGTAAACAGTGTCAATGGAGATATAACATTAGATATTAGATATCCGATATTTTGTCATATCCTCCGTATCACGTGACAAGAATGAGTACAATACTTTCACTCTTCTCTGCCTGTAAATGTTATGAAGGCATTGTCCGAATACATGATCAAGTTTTGATATAGAATGATTATCATGTATATGTATCCTCTCTTTACCCACTAGTAGTAGGGTTGTGGAATTGTAAATTAGTTTGGGGTCCAATATCACTTTTGACAAACTCTCATTTCGCACTTGAGTTGACAAAGGAAGACAGCAGCAATTAATTAAGTCATTCCTTTTCTATGCTGTTGGTAGGTCTCTTTTGGTATATACATATACTTGATGTTTGCTAAGATTGTAGATGTGCTTATGTCAGAGAACAAGAACCAGCCTTGTCCTTATCTGAAATGAAAAAAGTAATGATAACAAACAAACAAAATTAAACTTTCTTAAAATATCAAAATATTTAAATAATTACGGTAAAGTGTAGGGACTCTTTTATATACGAGTGACATTGCGATAAAACATATTGTAGTTTTGATAAGACACGTGCATGTTACAGAAACATCGACATTTGCACTTTTGAACATCGTGTTCCATTAAATGAATGAATATTCCCGATATGTCCAGTATATCACCATATCAAGTATACCTACACATAAAATCAAACAAACGTAATATTTGTTCACTGAGCCATAAACCACAGATGTCAGCAATATGTTCACACCTTTCGGAGATACGGTTGAACCTAATTAGCTCGAACTCTTATAATTCGAAGACCTTGCATAATTCAAAGTTTTTCGTCTGCAAAATTTTACACTAAACATTTCAACTTACTTAAATCAAACACTCGGATAAGTCGAGTTTCTCACGGTCCCGCCGACTTCGAGAAAACGCGGTTCGACTCTACATGTACATGTGTAGTAGTAGTGAACAGTAGTACTTTGTAACATTATAGATTAGAGCGTTTACATATACATACTATAAAGATATTTACATATATATATATAACTTAAATTAAATAGGTCATACTTACTGATTACCTGAAGATACCCCTCATATCACATCATGCGACCAAAGATTAATTCTAGTACTCGCTGTTTCCTTACAGGCAAGTTTTGAATTAATATACTAACAGAACACCCATGGCCTAATTCCCGTTAATCTCTTGTAGATGCTACTTGGATTAACGAGTAATGTAAGCGTAATAAGACATTCAGGCTGGATTTATGTTTCAAGAAAACTAAACCAATAGAGTTACTTCATATAAGTGCATCTGAATGTATTTAAATTTGCATTTTTTTAAATCCTCCTTATTTGGATATTCTTACACATTTACTTATGGTCTGTAATCAGCACACAAAGAATTATATGTGTGGGTAATCATGTATATACATTACACCATGATTGATTGTAAAACTGTTCTTATGAACTATGCTCATGGCTTTCTCTCAATTATTACTCATTGCATGCTGCCATCCACGCCATCAAGATTGATATCACAAATTTATAGAACTTGTTTTGCAATTCTTATAAAATAACCAAAATTTATATTACATATATAATATAGTCATATTCACTTTCAAAACAGTTTTGCCAAACTATTGGAAAATAAATATATTTTTCATGTTGAATGTTGAAAAATGAAAACTTAATACTTACGACTTTGTGAGATACTAGCATACATAATATTGTGTCGTTGATTTATCATCACGCGGAGATTCAGAATCCTCAGCCTTTGGCATAGGATGTACCACTTCTACTGTAGTGAAGAATATCAAATAAGTCGAGTAACAACCAAATAAAAGCTACACAGTACATTACAACAAAAGGTCTATGGGACTTGTGTCGCTCTCTTTATATACTTTGGACACAATTGCAAGATCCTAAGTGAAGGGAAGAACTTTGAATATCTTCTTCAGGGGATTTATAAAAAATTACATCCTCTAGATTAAAATATCCTTCAGACAAAATTTGCTTAAAATAGACCTTCATCGTAACAGAGGAAGACCGATTCACCTTCTCGACCCTGCCCATCTGTCGACAGGAGTCAAACCCATCATTTATACAAAGCCGAGTAATTTGCTCCATAGGATACTTCCATCCAAATAGGATTGGAATACTATCATCTTTACAGAAGCAAGATTTTATAAAAGTTGTTCTATTCCCACTATTGGTACCTCGCCTCTTCCGTCTAAGGGGTACAATATCCCAGTTTATTCAAAATTGATGCCCCTTCAGCCAAATATGCTTCACACCAAATCAGGCTAATATCCTTACAGTTCTTCCGAACTATGACGTTAAAGCATTTGCTTTATTTCCCGTATTGGATACCGCCCCAAATGTTCCCTAGGGGCCAGACTCGATATTTATACGTAAGTTAGTTCCCTTTCTCCTCAGGATGCTTTGAACAAAATTTGGTCAAAATTGATTGAATCATGCATGACAGGTAGCTGTTTTAGGGGGGAAATTGACAGGCGGACGCCGCCCCAAAGAGTAAGCTTACTGGTCCTTAAGACCAGGTGAGCTAACATGAGAATCATTGCGATTCTCACATCCTGTACAGAAGGCATTGTCATCTGATGAATGGTTTTACTACTGTTATTACCTGAAAATGCCTCTTAAAATCAATGATAATTGAATGCTTGAAGTGCTAAGACGTTACATCAATATCTGATTGGTAACCAGTTACTGGTGTTCCGTCTCTATGACTTTGCCTGTTATTACATTTAGTAATGATACTGAGCGTCAGCATATGAGGTTGTCTTTTCCCTTTTTCGAAATTTAATAAATGGTAATTTTGTAAACTTCTCTTCAGATTTACAAATCAATGCAGAAAACGTAATACAAAATTAAGAAGTATGGACATTTGTTAACCATGCAATTCCCCCCGTAAAAGAACATTGGCGACGAACTTATATATAAATTGAGAATGTTGTGAAACATGCATATGCTCCTCCGTCATGTTGTGAATATTAAGTCAAACCAAGTTTAATAACTTGACACTGTGACCTACAAATAACACAGCAATGTAGCGCTGCTCATGATATATGCACATGTGAAGTCGAGACTGATTGATATACAATTTCAAAGCAACAGACGAGAAAATAAAGTCTAAACCTAATGCTAAATAAAACTTTTAAGCAAATCTGAAATATACGTCATGGTGACCAATTCATAACACAACAGTTTAGTACTGCCCGAGATGAATCCAAATTTCAAGTTACAAGATGTATTCATCTACAATTCCTGGGGAAAATCAACTGCATGTTTTAGATGGACGTAATGACACACGGATTGAGGCAAATGGTTAAAGCCTCTTTGCTATCATGCGAGGGTGTACAAATGGGGCTTTGCTTAAATGTTTATCACAAGATTTGGACTTATTTGCTTGTTAAAAGTACCGGTAAATGTTTAACTAATAATATAAACATGACAAGAAATGTGATCAAACTCAAACAGTACTTACTTAATTCATCTTTTAAAATACAGTTGTTTAATAGTGTCTTTGTTTTCCCCTGGTTGTACAAATACTTACCAAGACGATGATGTGGTAATTGTTCATCTTGCAAGCTTAACTGAACAAATTAAAAGAAAAAATAGTAATGTGTAAAATCAGTTTACATGACGTATATAATGAAACACAAACTAAAAATAAAACAAACAAACATCACTCTTTTTTCTTTCAGGATCATTCTTGGCCAATTCCATAACATGACTTAAGGTATCGAAAAGCTGTTCAGGTCGCCAGGCTGTTTTAATTCAAATCTTAATTGTGCCATTTCTGTTTATTCACTTATACAAGTTTCTATCTACATGTATATTTAAAGTGCACCTTGCCAAGCATATATCTAATGCGAAATAATTTGGCTTCCTGACTTTTGATTTCGTGACGTCATAATGCCTGTTTCGTCTAGAAGTTAGATGATTACAATAACCTTTGGTGATATTGAAAAACAATTCAAATCATAAGACAAACGCGCATTTTTGTTTTTATGGTATGAAATGTTCTTGCAACAACCAGACCACATGAAGATCGGCGTGAAGAGGGACAAAGCGAGTGGATTAAGGTAATTTATATCGTCACGGATGAATAAATAGATCTGATCAAAAAGGTTGAAATCAACATTCTGTTACTACAAATAAATAATCTACTCAAATGGATGCATTACAGAACATGTTCATCAAATTCAACTTGGATTATACATACTTTCTCCAAACCACGTCTGTGTCTTTCATCAGTGTTTTGAATTCTAACAGCTTCCTGGTATTCCTCTTCAAGCATCTCAAGTTCTCGGTCTTCTCTCTCGTGAATTTTGTTTCCTAGAACTTCCTCCATCCGATTCCAATAGAATTCATCCTGCTCAAAAACACATTCGCTCTTCAAGGTGTTGATACCTAATGGTACTTTGTATGAGTTACTTTCGCGAGTTGCTGTATGAAATGGTACAACCCTCCATTTTTTGTGTTCATTGTTTATGGAGTCCATGAGTAATGAATCTGCAACAAGTCTGCGATAGTCATTTTTAATAAACTCCTTTGTCAAATACAAGAAAGCAAACGTACTCCTGTTATAAGCCTCCTCAAGTGATCCCAAAGCGGTCCCCTCAAACCGCTCATCGTCAAATAAGACTGCCCTTGCTTTAACATTATTTCCGTTTAGGCGAAAAGGATGACCATCTATACTCCTTCGGAATGTCTCGACGGCATCTTTGTTCTGCTTGGCATACACCACCATAACATCACTTTGAGGAGCCTTAAGATTGGGATGGAATCTGTCTTTGTATTTTCTGATCAAACGTATCTTTTCAACAGCTCTTACGTAATCGGTGGGTGTAAAACGATACAGAAAACTGTATTCAGCTGGATCTAGTTGATTAAAACAACAATAAATCTCAGGTTATTGGCGTTTGTTGATATGTCTACGGTGCACACATATACATGGGTTTAAATAGACAAAATCTTGCATCGAAATGGGCTTACTTTTAAAACCAAACAGTTCAAAGAAGCAATACGTATTTTTACCTTTATTAAAACTGCACAGAAATGGAAACTGACAACAATAATTACAATCAAAAGGGAATAATAATATATACTCAACATATTTATGATCCTATCGACATTTTGCAAAGTATCTTTTAAACATTCAACATCCATCCTATGATCGTTTCCACTATACGTGATCAAATCATACTTATGAACAACAAGAGATTCTGTAGGTATCTTGGTGCCCATTATTGTTTGCTCTTTATATGATCTATGAAAATTGGATTTCCTCCCTTCTTTTCTCTGTTTTTGTTCTAAGAGATAAGAAATTTGAAAATTCCTTTCAGAAATAACGATGATAATTTTTACCTGCCAAATCCAAGATTGTCGCCTGGCAGCCATTTTGTTTTTTCTTATCAATCCCAATATCAAATGGCACAGGCACAGGCCAAAGGGAATATACATATGGAATTTGAGAAAGAATCATTCAGTACTTAAGAAATAGAGAAAACAACCTTTACCCGACGAAATCCAAGATGGCTGCCTGTCAGCCATTATTTTTAGGGGTCAGTCGCAAAATCAAACAGGCACAGTTAAGGAACAAGAGGAACATTTACATAAAATTTGAGAAACATTCATGCAGTATTTCTCAAGAAGTAGCAATAACAAACTTTCAAAATCAAAGATGGCCGCCTGTTGGCCATTTTTTTTTACTGATCAATCCCAAAATCAATCAAGTACAACAAGGGCTCAACAGGAGCATACATCTGAAATTTGAGAGAATTCTATGCTGCAGTTCTCAAGAAATAGCTATAAGCAACTATCGAAGTCAAAATCGAAGATGGTCATCTCTTGGTCATTTACTTTGCCTGATCAGTACCAAAATTATCCTGGCACATCTTGGGAACAAGGAAAACATCCAAATAAAAATTGAGAAAGATACATAGTGTACTTCTGAAGAAATAGCGATTACACACCTACAAAATCAAAATCCAAATTTTGTCCCAAAATTAAATGGGCACAACTTGGGACAATGTATAACCTACATTGTACACAAGAAATTTGAGAGAGATCCATCCCGTACATCTTAGGAAATAGTGATAACAATCGTGCTAAGTCAAAATCTAAGATGGCCATCTGTCGGCCATTCTCTTTTTCTGACCAGTCTCAAAATTAGATGTGCAAAACTAGAGAAAAAGGGGGAACCTACATAGGAAATTTGAGAGAGATCCACCAGTACATCTAAAAATAAAAAAAAATCTTACCAATATCATTATCTGCTACTGCATCAGTTTCCACTTGGGACGCCAACCGATCATAAATTATGCTAGCTGTAAACAAAAACATCCACATTATTCTTTTATTTCCGTAAGAAAGTGAAACTATTTGAATTTCATAACCAAGTATTATTAGTTCGATTGCTCAGCAAATTTTTTCGGTGTTACTATCTTGATACTGGAGGACCATAAGCAAAGATTAACAGTGATTGAAACTTGACAAAACGGAAAGCATGAATTGCTTTTTTGTTTTAAGTTTTTAAAGTCGTTTTCCAACCTTAACCCATCCCCAATTTTGACTTTATTTTTTCAGAGAGCCAAATAAACTTCAATATCTTACTTGGTATACTGTTCGATGCAGCTGACCAAAGATGCCGTCCTCTCACTGAGAGGTTGTTGCATAACAGAAAATGGCACCCCTCATTTATGTACACAGTCCAATCATTTTTTTGGATCAGGGGCATATTGCTTTTATGTTGTCTGCTTGTCAATTCTAACTATGTCCATAACCATTGCACGATAAGAAGGCTGACTTTCATATATGGCATGAGTTTTGCTTGTGACAAGACCTTTCCGGTGGTACAAAAATTTTTGACAATGTTACCTTGACCTTTAACATATATTTGAAAATAAAAAATCCATTATCACAATGAAGACAGAAAGTGTGCATGCAATTAGCACATGCCTTACATAGTACAGTTATAATACCCCACTTTAGAATTTTGTTGCAACCGGGAATAGTGTTTTCAAAGCACATTTACTAGAGAAGGTGGACGGGGGTTCTACAGGTCTGCTTTGCTGCTGCTAAATTAATTACTTTGGTCATTCAAGCGACGACCAAATGCAGATGGTTATCTGACAGTGACGCGAAACACTAACAGAACAAAGAGCTTAAATATTTAAACCTGATGATAGGCGTCACCAACACTAGCACAAGGTTGCCAACGTCAGATTCGCATCCGAAGATTCTTAAAAACGAGAAATTAAAACTTGCGGTTTTTCTTTAAATAACAAGCTGAAAAATACTCTTACCATTATCACTGTCATTGACTGGATGTTCTACTGTGACATCAGTTCCAGCTGTAACCAAAAACCTCACATTATTCTTTCAGCTTCATAAGTAAAACTATTTGAATTTATACTCAAGGTCAGTGCGATGGCTTAGATTAATCAAAAGTTACACTCTACCTTTACACTTTGTTGTATTTACAACAAAAGACCTACCCTCAAAACGGGTGTTACTATCTCAATACTGGAAAGCAATAAGTAAAGATTAAAAGTGAATGAAACTTTGCAAATTGGAAAGCAAGATATACATTGTACAGGATTTTCGTACTTTTATTACTAACCAACAATAAAATATACTTCATCATAATTTCAAAGAAACTGACGCATTCTTCGAAAATGTGAGGTAATATTATCTTATAAGAAATCGACGGAAAACTGAGAGAGCTTGTTTCCAGACAAAATTACCATTGTGAACACAACGAAGGGCAGTAACTCTTCCACATACCACTGAACCAAACTACCGTTCAGGAAGACAGTCGAACCACACTGTCGTTCAAGAAAACACAATTTGATGGTACGGTGATTCAGCGTATCAAGTTTGGAAAACAATCAGTGGAAACCTGAGAAAGGTGATTTCTAGACAAGACTGCTATTATGAAAACGAGGGGCAGTAACTCTTACAAATAGTGCTGAACCAAATTACTGTTCAAGAATGTACTTTTTTATATAATGATGTTTAAGTCTACCAAACGATCGGCTGAAAACTGTGGGAGAAGACATCTAGACAAATGTAAGTTTGTGATGGACAAAGGGGCGGACAAACGGACGACACCGAACAATAGTACGTTACTGCCTTATAAAAAACTGACATTTTATATGAGGATGTGATGAAATGTACTTTGACGAGAGGGCCATGGTCTCGTGCACTTCTATTGCCAGATTTTAAACAAAACGTCAAAAACTTTTATGGTACAGTGCATTGTTACCACCTCAAGTATACATGAAAGGTCACCAATTTTTCTTTTCTACATGATAATCACATCTCACTCAAGATTATACTACAACCAAAAGGCCTGTTATTTATTATCCTCTTGAACACTGTATGCCTCAGTGCTAATATGCTTCACACTGGTCATTTTTTCTGATGAAGGTGATATTGTTGCCATAAAATCATTACACGTTTTCTTATTAGTTATGATAAAAGAACATCTGTTTAAACACAATGATATCATTTTTTTTTATATCTATGTTAAGGATATCAGTCTATGGCTAGTTCCAAATATTACAATTTCTTGATAGGTTTCAACATCTAACAGAGAAAATTGTGGCGAAGATTTCTGAGAGATGAAGGTTGAATTCTAAGACAAAAACCTTGTGATAGTCATAACGATTTCATTTTGGAAATACATGATGTATTCTGAAACTATCATTCAGTGCTCATTAATATTCTTGGTGTTATTTTGTTAATTTTCCCCAGTTCTCGTTTCCATAACGTTACATTAATTTGTTTGACCTAAAATTACTAGTGGGTTAAACTTATTGTTGCCTTCAAGAGTACTTGGTGCTATTTTCCTGATTTACCGTTTGAACATTTTCATATGTTGACCTGGTTTTATCGTCTCACAATGACGATTTCGTTGACAGGTCTTTGTCTTCTAGTAATTTTGATATATATTCTGTTTTATTCAGTAGTGTAGAGTACATCTTGTTTTATATCAATTTCCTTGTTCTAATCTGGATTGACAGAGATTTTATAAGACGGGCGTTGTGGACGAATCAGATTACCCTTGTCTTTCTAGGACGTTTCTATTCCGCGGGTACTATTTCCTTAGCCTTAGTGTTTTATCACTTCAATATTCAACGTATAGTGAGTCTAGTGACAATTAACATCTATGTATATTGACAGGCATACCATACATATTTTTGTACAAATGTGTGTTAGACATAGTCTTGAATCATTCCAACATGCTCACCTGGTCGAGGCAATTGTGCTAGTATGGTATTCAGATCTTGTGCAAAATTACGTTCCAAATGTAACTCCTCTTGGATATCCTGAAAAGCAGTTTCTATCTGACCGCAAAGTTCCTTAAAACTCAAGTTGGTCTCATCTGGACTGTAAACTGCTTCCTTAAGGAACCGGAAAATTCTTTTTATAGAGGCAAAGAGAGAATGATCGTCATGCGATGTCTGGGACTTCCATTGTTCATTCCGAGGATTAATCACTTTGATCTTCCTAATCACTTTTATACACAACGCTGCATCGAAATTACCAGTATCTCCACAACGAAGTAACTCACATTGAGGAACCGTAAATGATTTACATTCCTTTGATAACTTCCTACAAAACACAGGACATTGTGTGCTGCCGACTTTACAAGTGATTACTTCTCTCAAAATGTCCGCACAACAGGTTTCAGTACGTTCCAAGCATATTTTTTCTTCATCTGTTAGAGACAATGATGATGGCCTGGGCAAAATAAACAAACAAGAAAATACTAAAAATGCCGACATAATCATAATCCAAACTCAATTTCAATCAAACTAGGGCATGAACAAAGGATTTACACGAAGACTCCTAAAAAAGGCCAAAAAGAATAATTCCAGGTGTTCCAGTAGTGTACCCATCTTTTGCTTCACCACCGACACGCGTCGTGTAAACTTGGTCAATCCAATTAATGTCACGTTCTCAAGTGAGAACAATGTCTACAAGAACAGAAACAACCGGCAAACTAAGGAGTACTTTCAGATGATGCCATTCCAGATATCATTAAATGATTTTTTTTTAAATGAAGCCCTTCCAATGATACTATATTTCAATATAGTATTACTAGTAAAACTAAACAAGATATGTATTTGAATGCATTGTGGCCTAATGACTGGAGCTAGAACCTTTAACACTGAGATAATAAATTATTTTAATAATCTTATCTTAAATTGGAAATACTTACTTTGCCATTCCTTGTATGATGCCTGTTAAAGAAAGAGAAGAAAAGTTATGATGTGGAACAGATGCGTATGTTAATCTATAGCATTCTGAAGCATTAATTATAAAACTAATTAAGTAAATATCAGCTGAACACTTAAGCATGGTCTTAATTCTGGCAAAATCTATTTCAGACATTGTTCTTTTCAAAATATCACATTAACTTCAGAATGTAATTAAGGTGTTTGTTTTTTATTTTCTGTAGGAGAGAAGTACAAATTTAACAGCAGATATGTTACCTGTAATATTGTTCTTCTTCAATTTTGGTTTTTTTTTATAATCTGGATTGACAAAAAATTCTTGTCCGTTCTTCCGAATAAAAACCATTCCGCCAGGCTACATGAAGTATCACCATTTCTTTGTGATTTGGTTTGATTATTGTAGCAGCAGTTTCACGAACACATGTGTGGTTGTAACATTCAGCATAAATAACTATGAAAAGCCACACAGGTATTTACTTCAAAATATTTATGATGAGATTAGGGATCCACTTAGATATATATAAGTATTAAAACGGACTTTAAAAAGACATTAAATAACGTGAAAATACGCCCTGACAATGGGGTTTATTTCCTCTATCTCGTCTCTTTTGTTCTTGACCAAGCTTTCCTGAATTTAGTTGCCTCAACCTGTTGCCATATAACTGTTTATGTAATGTAGTACAAATAAAGTTTTTCAGCATTTAACAAATTGAGGTTGAATGAAAATTCGAAAACCAAATCGCAGTTTGTGGACATTTTAAATGACATTACTCTAATACGTTTGTTCATATAAGTAAAATTTCCATTTTACTTGAAACAACATTACTGAACTTGGCATGTCGACACAGAACATACAACAATAATGATATTTCAACAAAATTTTACTTCAAACTCTGTTTAATGAACGTGGAGGCAAATGAACAAGAGGCCCAGAGGGCCTGTATATCGCTCAACTGGATCTTTATGACCAACATTACTATATCTGTACATATGTTCCAAGTTTAACACATTTGAAGTCACTTCTTTTACTTTCTTGGACTTCATAAAAGGAACATACTGGCCAAATATAATGATTCTAGGCTTTTCGATAATTCAGAAGAAATTGTTTAAATGTTTTAACACATTTGACTCCTGTGACCTTGAAGATTGGTCAAGGTCATTTCTTTTAGCAAACTTTGAAGGACACCATAAGAGGAACATAGTAGCCTAATATAATGATTCTAGGCCTTCCGGTATTTTGAAAGAAGTCGCTTAAATTTTTTGAACACATTTGACCTCTCCGACCTTGAATAATGGTAAACATTTTTTCTTTCGCAAACTTTGTTGGGCTTCATCAAAGGAACTATCCAGCCAAATATAATGATTCTATGCCTTCCAGTATTTTGGAAGAAGTTGTTGAAATGTTTTAACACATTTGACCTCTGTGACCTTGAATATGGATCAAGGTTATTTTTTTTGCAAACTTTGTTGGACTTCATCAAAGGAACCTTCCAGCCAAATATAATGATTCAAGGCCTTCTGGTATTTTGGAAGAAGTCGTTTAAAGGTTTTAACACATTTGACCTCTGTGACCTTGAATATGGGTCAAGGTTTTTTTTTTTTTTTTGTAAACTTTTGTTGGACTTCATCAAAGGAACCTTCCAGCAAAATATAATGATTCTAGGCCTTCTAGTATTTTGGCAGAAGTCATTTAAAGTTTTAACACATTTGACCTTTGTGAGCTTGAATATGGGTCAAGGTCATATCTTTTAGCAAACTTTGTTGGGCTTCATCAAAAGAACCTTCAAACCAAATGTAATGATTCTAGGCCTTCCGGTATTTTGGAAGAAGTTGTTTAAAGGTTTTAACACAATGGACTCCTGTGACCTTGAATATGGGACAAGGTTACTTTTTTTGCAAACTTTGTTGGACTTCATCATTGGAACCTTCCAGCCAAATATAATGATTCTAGGCCACCTGGTATTTTGGAAGAAGTCGTTTAAAGGTTTTAACACATTTGACCTCTGTGGCCTTGAATATGGGTCAAGGTCATTTCTTTTTGCAAACTTTGTTTGGCTTCATCAAAGGAACCTTCCAGCCAAATAAGATAACTCTACACCTTTTGGTATTTCAGAAGAAGTTGCTTCAATAAAAAAATGATGGATGCCAGACGGACGCCGCACTATGCCATAAGCTCACTTGGTCCTTTGGGCCAGGTAAGCTAAAAATTACAAGGAGAATTAGAGAATGTGTTACGGCTATACAGTTGAATTTTTTAAACACTTCTGGAAACAACTTAGTAATTTTATTGTTCGGTTGTTAAACTTAGGATATACAAAAGGGGAACTGTCAATTACACAGTGTCATGGCATTATTACTTGTATTCCTAAAAAAGACAAATCACGTCACTTTATAAAAAACTGGAGGCCTATAACTTTATCAAATATTGTTTAATAGCATATGGGGTAATTGCTAATAGGATTAAATCTGTGCTTGGCAAAATTATAAGTAAGGATCAGACTGGGTTTCTAGCAGGTAGGTATATAGGTGAAAATATAAGACTTTTATTCGATGTTATGAGTTATACAGAAGAAAATAATATTCCAGGTATGTTATTAATGGTAGACATTGAAAAAGCGGTTGATTCAGTCTCATGGATATTTATAGAAAAGGTATTGATTTTCTTTGGCTTTGGTAATGATATTTTAGATTGGGTGAAGCTTTTTCATAAAAATGTAGGTGCATCTGTAAATCAAGGGGGGAATCTTTCTTCGTTTCTTGATATCAAAAGAGGTTGTCGACAAGGGGATCCAATAGCACCATATATTTTTATTCCATGTCCAGAAGTTCTTGCAATTAGATTCAGATATAACAAAATTATAAAAGGAGTAGAGGTTGATGGTGAAATGATTTTACTATCCCAATATGCAGATGACACTTACTTGACATTAGATGGTACTGAACAGTCTTTAAGAGAATCAATAAATGAGCTTCATACTTTTGAAAATATCTCAGGCTTAAAGATGAATATTGATAAAACAGAAATCATATGGATTGGGAGTAAAAATTATAGCCAAGACAAATTCCTACCAGATATAAATTTACAATGTGGAAAAGAACAATTTTGTTTATTAGGGATTGAGTTTAGTGTAAATCTCCATGAATTGGTAAAGCTTAATTTTGATAAAAAAAATAGTTAAGCTAAAAAGTCTTATCAATACATGGAGCAGATGAAAATTAACACCTATTAGGAAAGTTTATTTGATAAAATCATTAATTATCTCACAGTTTAACCACTTATTTATATCGCTACCAAATGCAAACAATAAAACATTGACGACTATTAATACAATTTTGTATAAATTTTTGTGGAACAGTAAGATTGATAAAGTGAAAAGAGAGATTACAACCCATGATTATGCTTTTGATGGCATTAAAACGCTCAATATCAGCAATTTTATTGATTCTCTAAAATTAAGTTGGGTAAGTAGACTATATCTGTCTAGTAGTAGATGGAATACTCTTTTGAAGAAATCATTAAATCTGAGAAGACTAATCAGTTATATAAAAGTAAGTCAGGAAAATTGTACAAACATCTTTTGGAAAGATATCTTTCAGGCATGGTCCAGACTAGAGAGCTGTGAAAATATGAAAAAAATAAAGAGGAAGTCACTTTTGTTAGTATCGGTTTGGCACAATAATGATATAACTATTGGTGGTAAAGCAGTTTTTTTTATCCAAACTGGCATGAAAAGGGCATTTATGTTATTGGTGACTTTGTCAAAGATTCAAGTACAAAAGCTCTATTTACTTACAATGAATTTATTTATAAATATAATATCAATGTTAACTTGTTGCAGTATAATGGGTTAGTTTCAGCAATTAGAAAATGTTTATCAAACCATGAGTCACATGACCATCAACTAGCCAGACCTGTTTTACCAGTGAATATTTCTTTATTTATAAAAGAAATTAATGGGTCAAAACAATTTTATGACTTTTTAAACAGTAAAACCACTCTTGAAGCAAAGGGCAAAGAAAAGTGGGATGGTCTGTTTGATATAAGTAAAGATGAGTGCTTCTGTATTTATTCACTTCCTTATCTAGTCACTAAAAGCTCAAAACTACAGTGGTTGCAATTTAGAATCTTGCACAGTATATTAACTACAAACTCTTTCTTGTTTAAAGCAAGATTAGTAAATAATCCTTTTTGTTCCTTCTGTAATTCTGATCGAGAATCTATAGTGCATCTGTTTTGGGAATGTGATGAAGTTCAAAACTTATTTCAAAATCTAGATCGGGTTTTGGAGGCTTTATTTATACCCTTTACGGTAAATAAGCAAACAATACCTTTTGGCAAGATAAATAATAACAATAATGCTTGATACAAAGCAGACAATCAAGTCATTTTGGTGATAAAACAATATATGCACAGAACTAGGTGTCTGCACAAGTCCCTGAATATAAGTGCACTTCTTTATTCTATATTTGACCGCTATAAGGTCCAGAAATATATCATTCATAGTAAGGAACAGACTGCTGAAGAAAATTTTTCTAATTGTTGGAAAAAATGGGAAAAATTAACTAAAATTTTAGAATGATATTTTTTACGCATGTAGGAATTTCAGAAATTGCCAGTCTCTGACAAAGTTCCATGTATAGTTTTTTGATCTCCTACTATCACACACTATATACAACTTAACAGTAACTACCATCCTTTCCCTTCCTCCATTTTCTTATCTATCCTCTCAAATCCCTTTTCTATCTGTCTATCTATCTGTTTGTCTGTCTGTCTAGCTGTCTGTCTGTCTTTCAGTCTGTCAGTCTGTTGTTCCTATTTATTTCCTTTTTAATGTATCAGTACAGTGAAATATATTTGAGTGAGGTATAAAAGTGTAAGAGTGGGAGTGAGGTGTAAGTGTGTACAAGTGAGATGTAAGAGTGTATGAATGAGGTGTAAAAGTGTATGAGTTAAATGTAAGGGTGTATGAGTTAAATGTAAGGGTGTATGAGTGAAATGTAAGGGTGTATGAGTGAGCATAAAAGATAAATTTTATTATATGTGTACAATATATACCGAAAGCGCCTGTGGATGTGTCATGTTGTGAAAGTAAATGGTGTCTAAGTGTAAAAATAAAAAACATAAAAAAAAGAAAAATAATAATGATGGTGATAATGATGATGATGTTTGCAGTTATAAAAAAGACATGTTCATGATGATGAGGATGATAATAATGAAGATGATGATGATTGCATTATAATGATCACGATGATGATGATGATGATGATGAGGATGATGATGATTTTGTCATCATCCTCATGACTTAAGTGTGTGTGTGTCTGTCTGTGTGTGTGTCTGTGTGTGTGTGTCTCTTGTGTTATGTACATGTACTGAAAAATCTTGGAAAAATAAAAAAAATTACAAAAAAAAAATATGTATAACCCTCTGTGTAAATCTTGATCAATTCAAGAGAAAGGAAGGTAATGTTCCCAAAATGAGAACAATGTTAATTACAACAGAACTGTAAATCATACTAACGCGCATCAAACATCCCCAGCTTTATATCGCACAAGGAAAAGCAAAATATTTCCCAATGACATCATTATGTACCGGTATTTTTATTTCTAATCCCACTAATGACTATAAGGAGACTTATACTCCCATTGCATCGAAGTTATAAAATCTAAGCCGTGACGTTAGATCAGAAATTGGAACCTTCGTCAAATTGTATTATACTTTATTTAGACTATATACGGGTTTCTCTTTAATATGCATGTATGTAAATTATTTGAGAGAAATATCCATTTCAAAAATTCAAAATAAACTTTACATCAAAATAGACAGAATATGATGTTATGTTTAATCTCAATCCTACAAAGATGTTATAAGTCAGCATAATTTGTTTTCCTGGTATTTGATCGTGCAAGCTTTCATCGTAGTTAATAACATCTGGGAAATGTTTTGTTTTGGTATCTCATAGCACTTCAGTGCTTACAAGGCATGTCCTTGATATACAACAAAACGCTTTTTTAATGGATTAATCTTAACTGCAAATAAAGAAAAAACGTTATCTTTATTCTGACTTACATAGATATATCAATATTTTTAAAAGAATTGAAACATGATCAATTCTACCCCATATACACACTACTACATAAGTAATTTTATATACTGAAAATTTTGGTGAAATTACACTTTCTACATAAAATTTGCCCAAATATATTGTACATCAGAGTCTATATACGTCTCTGTGTACATTAATCTGAAAATTTGGGGTCATAACGAATAACAATTTTTTTTCAGTACTGATTATCATTTATAGACCATTTTGTAGCTCGGCAAAAGAAACGTAATGTAACGAGGCCAAATGCGGATTTTCTTTCAGGCACCTTGCTTCAAACCACTGACAATATACTTAGATATTGTCAACACCGAAGTGATTGTTTGAGGGTGGTCGGGTGGCGCAGTGTTAACGCACTTGCCTTTCACCTAGCCGACCGGGGTTCGATTCCCGGAACGGACGTGAAAAGGTAAGGGGTCACCTGCCTGACCACATGGGTTTTCCCCGGGTACTCCGGTTTCCTCCCACAATAAGACCCCTGGCGCGCTTACATCCGGGCCAACAATAGTGATTAGTATAAGTTGACATAACTTGTTTCGCAATTGTTGTAAAATAAATAAAGTTTATATTATATAAAGTTTACTGTTTGAGATTTTCTTACGTTATTATGCACTAACATATACTTTTGCTTTGTTTAAAAAGCCCAAAAGGACGACCGTAGGATTTATGAGAGGAACATTTATGATATTTTTGCTCATTGTGAACGGGTTTTGCAGAGAAACTTGGATATTTTGTACAATAAATCAGTGTTGAATTAACAGAAAGATGTTGTTATTTTTAGATCGTCAATGTGATTTCTTGCATATTTCATTCACAAATGTTCAAACAAATACTTTTTCCGTGAAGGGTACACTTAAACTTTGGTTTTGTTTGAATTGTGATATTACTTAAATGTACAGTAACAAGATCAATTTTACTTCATATACCGCCCGGTAATGTCCATTCGGGCTATTCCGAGTGGTTCGAATTCCTGTATGCAATTAATTGGTGTCAACGCCACTGAAGTTATAAGCCGAAGCGGACAGGTAAACAAAACCACTGAAATGGCTTGAATATAGCAAACTGTAAGGTCTCAGAAGGTAAGTTCGGTAAATAAACTTGTTTTGTTTTGAAATTAACCCATTATGTCTGGACACGTTGTTTAATTTACTACATTCAAAGTGAATTCGTTTCTACAACTTTTATGGTAACGTCCGTTCTGTCTCTAAAATGTAAATACCAATGACAGCATAATAAATGTGAATACTTACATTAAATTATCATTTTAGAGATAGGAATTTCCGGTCTATCTTGTATTAGTGTCATCTTTGCAGTATTAAGGCAGGGATCGACGGAGTGACCCTCCTAAACAGAATCTCTCTGACTAGGAATTTATTTTTTTAGTTTATCAATTAGGTGTACCGAAAGTAATATACTCATAACCACTAAAAAAAATCCTGTATTTATACATATTCTGAAACTTATTCATCGATCCTCACAATTTATGTAAGGTTTTAATGTACTGTGTATAAAAGCTGAGGTAATAATACCTAATACTACACACGACCTAACCAGATCTACGTCCCCGACCTTACCCATACGTCGCCCCATAGCAAATGTAGCATTCAAAAGTATGATACAGGTACACCGTGTCCAGAAAAGATGTAGAAACACACAGTTATGAAATATCTACTATCTCTCACACACACGACTTGGTGCGTTTATACATGGTTTACATATGTATACACTTACCTTGGCCTGATATAAAAATCTTCTTTCACATTGATGGGTTTTTCCAAGAATTATTGTCACTTCCTGTGTTAACACAACTAGACTTGCTTAAGTCACATTATCAGGACAGAACACTTCCGGTGAAAGGTTTGGATTCCAACAAACTGATAGGATAACAATATAATTGTTTTATCCATCATTTCTTTTTTCCCCTAAAAAATATCTTTTTTTTTTCTAGGTGATCCAATTGATTTTACAACCTTAAAACCACCCAATTACCTTTATTTTACAATGTTCTCTTGTTTAATTTGTTCCAGCTGGACACATAGTCATTGGGGATATATGCATTGTCCATATTCTTAAGTAACAAGAGTTTTCCATAATTGGACTGAAATTTCATGGAACTACTTGCCTTAAATGGAATGTGAATTCCAAGATACATTTTAGATAGATTTTTAGAGCGAATTAAAGTCAATTAAATTGCTTACTTAATCTTAAAAGAATTAGCTATATAAAATAAAAAACAGAAAACAAAACATACATTTGAATTCTTTCAGGTTGATATCATAATCACAATGAATGATTCATAAAAGGTATGAAATCCAATATACAAATATGTGCTTTATCCTTGTTTGAAAATAATATTCCATTTCCTGCATATGAAAAGAATGAGGCTTGCACTGGCTTACATTCTTGGGAACTCTTCCAAACCCCAAAATACCGGTTAATCATGCTTCACTATTACCATTCACTCAGATTAGTAAGTAAAATTATCAAGACAAACCTTCATTTTTATTGGAATCCTGAATTTCACAAGATTCAGGGAAGTAAATGACTGCGGCTACTACTCTGGCATTCACTTTGTGTTTATTCACCGAGCCGTAAGGCGGTGAAGTCCCCTCTTCCTACTGCTGTTATAAAATCTGATCCTGTGCATCAATGATGTACTTGGTGTGGACTCAACACTGACCTACCTGACTTGTGCCATTTTGTCGTCCAGTGAGAAGTGAAACTCAATTTTGTAACAAATGTAATACTAATATATAAAAATAATGAATCGTAAATTTACATGTGTCAGTCAGAAAATCACTGCTTTTTAATGTCATCAATTCAAAGATTTTCTTATTTCAGGTCGAAAGTGGTACATAACATAGGATGGTGTTTCAGTTGTAAATAGCATAAACATGTTTTTTCAAAATATCAAAAGTAATTGTCACAAAAGTTAGCACAATCAATTTCAAAATTACTAAGCCCTCTAATACTGATTCTTTTGAAACATATCATGAAACATATAAAAAATTTACACTGAAAATACTGAAAAAGTAAGACCAGGTGTTCCAGAAAAGTAAGCGTCCTCTACATATTTGTGAATTCATGTGAGAACTGTCATGTTCCCAAATGAGTTCAAGGTAAACATTAACCGAACCATCAGGCATGCTAACAAGCATCAAAGAAGTCAAAATTCATATCGCTCAAGGAAATACAATACATCCAATGAGGTCATTATGACAACCACAAAACTTCCCCTTAGCCTTCACCAAACTGCATCCGTCTCGATTTAACATCTCAATGAACAGAAAAATAAAACAAACAATAGAAAAATGTGTGTGGTCCTTTATTACATTTAACATAACATCAAATCTGCATTTTCCTTGTACCAACATAGCTTGTGAAGCTCCGACAGTGATTCAACTCAATGACTTCACTTCGAGTCAAGTATGGACAAAGGATATTGACGTACATCCAGATTTTTGACAGGAAATCTCTATGAATTTTAGCAGAGAAAGTGATGTTGTTCATGTAAAGTGTAAGTGAAGGTCGCATATCTATTTTTGATTCCTCTGTAACAGTCCTATCATGTGTATATCTTATCTTAAAGAAGAGCGTTTCTCTTGCAGTTTAGCTGCGGCTTTCTTTTTCATCATCTGTAATCTCTTGTCAGCATTAACAGCAGATGTTGATCCTCCTGAGCTTTGCTTGCTGCTGCTACTACTACTACTTGTACCACTACTTGAGGAACTAGACTTAGAACTGGATTTAACAGGCTCAGCCTTTGTTGGTAAGTTTTTAAATATGTCTACACCAAGTTTAATTCCACCAGGCTTTGCAGCAGACTCGGATGACTTGCTCTTGCTCGAAGTTTTCTCTTGGTGGTCATGTTTAGAACTACTTTTAAATGACTCTGATTTCACTGAAGATTTAGAAGACTCTGATCTACTGCTACTGCCACTGCTACTGGACTTAATTTGATCACCTTTCCCTGAGAGGTTGGCTGCAAGACTTGCCAGACCACTGAGGGGGCGATTCCCGGAGCTGCCACTTTGGTCTTTGGAACTGGATGACTGCATGAAAAAGAAAATATGGTTACCATTTGCTAAACATTTTTGTTGGTGTGACACACTCTTTTGGGCTCGAAAAAAGCCTACAAAAAACTTATTCCAAATATTGTGATGTGAGTTTTTATGCTAGTTTAAAAATATGTTACAGAATAAAAATAAGCACCAAACTGACCTCACATCATGTCAAGTCCTCCAATATATGTATGTTAGCTTAACATATGGACTTTTAAAGGCTTTTAAGTATTGGTGTACAGGGCCAATGCTGATGGATAATTATGCCAATGTAAGCACCCGGAGAAATATCCTCAGCACAGTGTTACTCCAGCTCACGGGCAACTGTCAGCTATACAAATATGTTTGGGGGAACATAGATTGGTTCGTTCTGTAGCCTTTTACAATAAAAGAAAATCTTTGTTAACAAGAGCAAATGAACTTTAATATGGTGCCAAAAATTACAGTATCACTCGTTCTTGCCATTTCCTTTGAAACTACATCTTTTAAAATTGTTAGCAGCAAATTTATAGATTTCTCAATGAATAACACATCCCTCAATACATTGCGTATTCAACATGTCGGAGAAAGTATATTCAAAGTGTATTTTAACCAATATTGTGAATAAAAGAAACATTACTAGTCGGCCATACTTTTCAAACATGTGGTATTCAAAACAAGATCCAAGAGGGATCTTGGTGCCAACCATTGTTTGATCTTTAAAAGCTGGATCTTTCCCTTCTTTTCTCTTCTTTCCTCTGCTTTTTTTTCTTTATTAGCAAAAAATAATCTTCAACTGCCAAATCCGAGATGGTCGCCTATCTTTCATTTTTTTTTTTCTAATCAATAGCAAAATCAAAAGGGCACAACTAAGGACCAAGAGGATCTACATATGAAATTTGAGAAAGATCCATCCAGTATTGTTCAAGAAATAGCGATAACAAAGTTTCACTGCAAAAATTCAAAATGGTCACCTGATCATTCCAAGAATATAACAGGCACCACTATGGACCAAGGGGAGAGAAATATTGTCTATCAGGATTTTTTTTGCGATTATCTGATTTTTGTGAATTTAGCGACCCTTTCAGAATCGAAAAATATCAAAAATGCGAAATGAGCATGTTACTTTTTTTATTATTAACACATGAGTAATGCATATATAGAGTTGACATACCTATATGCACCTGGACCCATTATCGTCATGAATATTTCTATAATCAATGAATCTCATACCTTAGTATGACTGCTCAGGTAGATATCTATTTGAAGTTAAAACCTACGCTGGGAAGTATAAGCTATGCCCATTCTGAGGTATTCAGATACTTCAAAAAGAGGCATTTCAAATTTGAGACACAGAAATCACAAAAAACTTAAACATTCGAAAATTACAAATTTTTGGGATTTTCTAAAAAAAATGCACTTCATGAATATATCCTAATATACAGTATCACAGACTTGATTTTTAGACCGTAATGGCAGTTATCAATCATCTGTACTTCCTGGTGGACAAACTTTGGTCTGGATAAAGACAGATAAGGATCAGTGATTAAAAGATTGACAGAAAGATTGACAACTGAGACATCAAATCAATGGAATGTGGAGGTGTTCTCTGCCATTAGCAAGTAAAAGCTGAAAATCCACATTTGAACATTCTACTGAAGAAAATTTACATTCTACATGTTAACTTAACCAGTTTCCTTTCTGATTCCTTGCTAATCAATAGACATATGGAACACTGTGCAATTTTAGTTCAGTGCTAGGTTTTCCAGTGTAATACATATATATAACAATGTGACATTATCTTCTTTTTCTAGAGCAGAGGAAACTCATTACTTAATAACTAAACATAGCTGGAATTGCAAATTTATATCATAACTGAAATCTTAAAAACAAACCTTTGAGAAATTTCTTTGATACTAGAACTACCAACACTAACCTTGGACTCAACCCTTCGGAAGCTGAATAGTGTTGACGGGTCAGACTTAATGTTCTTGCTGTTGGAACTGCTACTACTACTGGAGGTGGTGAGACTAGATGTTTCCTTGGAGGAGGACAACGTAGAGGAGGTGGACGAGGAGGAGGAAGATGATGATTTACTCTTCACTGACTTGGAGGCAGATGCCTGGATGATAAACACAAAATGCAAGTACTGAAAATCAGTCATTCAATGTAGGTTTAATTAAATGTCCTGAATATTTACTTACAATATGCCAAATAATTCAATGGGTTCCCCTTTTTGTTTTAATTTATTTTACAAAGCCATTAACATTTATTTCAATGTTTCCATAAAAATTATTCCATTTGCTCTTGAAAGTATTGGCGAAAAACCTATGATATTTGATTTGTCAAAGTAATTGTGAAGAGGCCCTCTACTTAGGAGAGATGTTTTCAGATATCCCATATTAAAATGTGGTATTCTTTGACAGTTTACAACCACAGTTGCATCAATCATGCAAGTGTTATTCATGCGAGTTTTCTTTAAAAAGACAATGCAATTCAAATTAGTATCTGACCAGTGTTTACACCAGGGCCTGTATTCATGAAACCACTCTCATGCTCAAGCATAGATTTTGTGCTCAAGCAAACTTTTTATAATTCACCTAAATAGTTTATACTTATGTCAAATCTAAACCTTGAATATAGCTTTGGCTTGAAGTCCTTTCAAAATTGTTTTTAAATCTTTGGCAAAATCAGCCTTATTTATTAATTTTTAACTTAAACAAGACATGAGGCTTGAGCACAAAATTCATGTTTGAGCATGAGAACGGTTTCATGAATGCGGGCCCAGGTCACTGAAACAAGAATCATCCAACACTGTTGCATGTTAGAATGAGTTTTGAATTTGAGTTAATGACACAGTTTTGAATTTGTCCCCATCACCTTAATCGATAGCAAATAACAATATACTTTTGTACTTGAACAATCTGCTTTTACACAAAACACTGAAATACCCTACCACTACATACACAAATAACTTGGCTGGATAAGTTCCCAAAACAAAACATTCAACCGATATCAGATACAAAACTTTACAGCTTTTAATATCCTTCCCATAACTATAACTATAAAACATACATGCAGAAATGATATAAGACTGTACACAAGTTTTCGTTTGAGATGTGATTTACATCGTCTTAAGAATTTTTAATTGATATATTTGTGGGGAGTTTAGTCAGTAAATCACATATCCAATGGAAACAAAGATTCATTTTCTCATGTTATCATTTCAACAAATATTTTAGAAAATGGATTTTTTTTTTACACTTTTTGGGTCTATATTTGTGGTTTCCATCACCATTTACTTGTCGGTTTATGACATGATTTCATTTTCTAAACTAAACATCAAAATAGTTCACCATTACACGGGTATATTCATAGAATAACACGACAATTGTGTGATAAATTGTTTTTGTCACTCCAAACATACAAATTTACCTTAAAACCACAAACTGACACCGTCATATACCTAAATGCTATCACTGGTACCTCCAAAAGGCATTTGGAAATTACAATTCCCTTTTACCTGTATAAAATGCTTCTATCAATCTGTTATCTTGACTTTAGTTGAGTTCAGATTTCTAAACAAAAAGTCATATAACAATTTGTACAAACTGCACTTGTAGAAATCAATCCCAATGCCAACTAGCCATCCCCAGAATTACCATTTTTTTCATGGTCTTGGTACATCTGCTACAGTACCACACAAATCTAGGGTCATTCACATCCTGCTCAGTCACAGGTGGTTTGTGGCATTCCTGGAAATAAGGAAGAAATAAGGCCATTATACAATGTAGTGGTCTGTTGAAATGTTTAGAATTGGAAATAGTTTAATATTGATTTCTTACTGGAGTAGTTTTTATTATAAATCGTGAATCGTTTTCAAGATGGGCAAAGTGAATTTCTTTTTAAACAAGTATATGAATAGTTAATAGGTTTTCACATATCACAACCATCACAAAATTTGTGTTGCCTATTTTGATGACTAAATTTTCAACTTCATCAGACATACACAACTATCATATTCATCAGACAAATACATCTGTCTGAAGGTGACATTGTCATAATCGGAACATCACTCACAAATATTTTTATCTATCCAATATACACTAACTGAACAAAATGAAATAAAATGTTTCATCATGGTATAAGGTTAGTACTTCTAGTGTATCTACATTGTGTTTCTATTGTTTTTCCCCACTCATAAACCTCCGCAAAACAAACAGAAGTTACAAACCTGATGGTATAGGTTATGGCATTCCTGACATTCCACCAGCTGATTTCCAGATGTCACATCAAAACCTCTGTAACAATCAAAATCATATCATGCCATGAAATTGGCTCACCATCTAGCAACACCATTCGTTGGAAAGATTTACGTTCAAATAATAAAAACATCATTTAAGTTGCCTTCTTGCATCTTTTGCTAATAATTTATCTGGTAATTAAAATGTTCATGTATTAAGTCTGAAAAAAAAAAATGAAGAAACCTTTAATATTGAAATATTTGACTTACTTGCAGACAACACAGGCAATGCCTAGGTCAAATGCAAAATCATCTGCATCAATACTCTTCTCTTCATCCTCACTGTCATCTGATTTTTCCTGTCGTTCTTTCTCTTCTTTCTCTACCTTCACTTTTTTCTCATTTTCTTTTCTTCTCTCTTTGTCACGTTCTTTAGAAGACTTCTCCTCTTTTTTTATTTCCTGAGATGTGTCCTCCTCCTTCACCTTGATGACGGTTTGAGGCGAGTCAAGACGAGCTTTTTTCACAGGTACCTCCTCTGATAATTCTGACAATTCCTTCTTAAGCTAAAAACATAAAAGATACATCAAGATGATATAGTATATTTCTAGTAAAAATTCTCTCCATCTCCCTCCAGTAGCCTCTTTCTGATTTTATCGCTCATGCTTACCCGTTCCTCCTCCTTCTCACTCTTTACAAACACCATCCTCTTTTCAATCCCTTTCTCTCTTTCCTTCTCAGCCTCCTTTCTCTGAACTCTTTCTCTCATTCATTATATCTTGCAGAATTCCATTTTGGATACTTTAAAGATTTACTTGTACTGTTTTGACTGCTCTACACTTATAAGACACTATTAATATCAGGCAATGGTTGCTTATTATTCACAAGATGCCATCCCTTCCCACGCCAAGATGACTAACATACGAAAACCACTCAATAACCCAGCAGCATATTTTGTGTGCGATAAGACTGATAGACTTGTGATGTAACTGGTGACAGATTTTTATTGATCACTAAACCAATAAGATCAATTCTTGCGATATGTATAAAAAGCTGAAACAAAAGAATGCAACTGTGTCCTATAATACAGGGCAACTGAAGCAACATATACCTTGTCCAGCGATCTTTTCTCAGACTCTCTCTTCTTCAGCTTCTCTTCTTCTTGATGTTTCTGCGATGATTTATTTGAAGTCTTGGAATCTGAAGTAACTGATGCTGACTGTAAATATACCAAGTATCAAAAGTCTGTATCCCACAACTAAATATTAGGCAGGTAACAAACAATAAAGCAAAACTAACAGTGTTTAAATGTTGTTACAGCTTTTGATATATATTTTAGATGTGTTTCTTATATATTATACAATTGTTGATTTTCCTGGGGTTTTTATTTTGTCAATTTTGTGGGTGATCTTGACCCACAAATCTACATATCTACAAAATGATAAACAAATAAAAATGTCCATGAATTTTCAGTAATACTGAATTCTGTGCATGTGATTTATCCACAAAATCCAGTGCCAACAAATTTGTATTATTTTGAAAAATCAGAAAATTTCGGCTCCACAAAAAATACACAATTTCGTAGTATTTTTTGATGGGACATTGACATTTAAATCATGAAATAACATTTTCTCTGTATCAAAATCATCAACAATATCGACTTGTTTAAAATCTTACATCTGCTTCTGAATAATCAGGGTAGCAATGTTACGGAACTTCAGAAATTGTAAATGTGCTGATTAGTGATATACTGCTCTATCCCAACAAAATCACAATTTTTTTTTGTAAGTCTTTAGAAAAACGCGAGTTTCTCTAAACTGGCCAGGAAAAGTGACACTAGAACACAGGAGAATGCATCCGCAGCAATCTCCCTCATCAGACCCCTTTAGATAGTAGAGGCTTTTCTGACCACCAACCCTCCTTTTCCTCATATTACACCATTTGGGTACGCCTGGCTCACTCAGAATACCATATATTATGCATCAAAAGATAGCAACTGATAGATGTTATGTATGACTGAGAATTAAATGACATCATGTATAATCTTCAAGTCTCCCATTACTTAAAAACAATCAGATTTAAAAACAAAAGTTGTATATCATCAATCATTATATCATTTGTTAAACATCAGCCTTTAGTAAGTCTTGATTAGTTCTTATTAAACCATTAATGGGAAAATGCAACACTTTGTTCTAACATACTTAGTAATCAATACCTTTTGGCCTTTCCTTTGAGCTATGGCATCATCAAGTAATTGACATAGTTGATCAGTTGAGTCTCGGCTCTTAGAGTGTAACAGTTTTAGTGCCTTTACGAACACAGGATCAAGCTCAACAGCAGCCATTTTTAACCAGATTCCCTGAAAAAATAAGATTCACTGAAAATGACAACCAAATTCCATGAGAAAACAATTTCAATGGTGCATAAAATCAAAAAATTTAAACCTAACAACTTTTGTATGTGTATATAACATATAGTTATAATATATAGCATACTTAGTTATATAAATTTTTCATTAATTTCAACAATTATTGAAATAAAATATGCTGTCTTAAACTCCTAAAACTCTCCATATAAATTATTGTCTCCAATAATCAAAGCTATATAAAATGTGTTTGGAAAGATCATTTTGAATGAGAAGCAAAATTTATTATTTCTTTTCTTGTTTATTTTTTTTTATACTTCTAGGCCATTGCAGGCTGACTTCAGCATCATTGTGATTTAGTAGTCATCAAAGAATGTAAGTGCAAATGTTAAATCTTAAATTCAACTATGATGTGTGTTTTTGCATATAAGTAAGTAATTAGTGTGACATCATGATGAACACTTGACAATCAGATGAGAGAGAGAAAGAGGCAGTGATATGAGGTATGAACTAACTTGTCTTCTCTGTCCATTTATTTGCAATTTGTCCCTTCTGTATTTAAATGTTGTTGGCACATGGTCATTTTTATGAGTAGTATATCTATTATTGGCATGGGTTTAAAGTATCTAAAATAAAAATTTGAATGTGCGTGTATGCTAGATACCTGAGCAGTCATCATACACTGGCTGATCTCATTGTGATTTTATATCTTTTATACTTTGTTCCACTACAGGTATATTGCATTATATTTGAGCTACATATAATATTCAGTTTCAATATGCCTTCTGCCACAATGAGGTGATTGTTATCTTACAACCATTTATTTGTTAAATATTATGGTAGATATCATAACTGGGTAGAGTTCTAATGGTTTTGTTATTCATATATAAGAAAATAGCATATAATCTATTTCCAATCTCTTTATTGCTATTATATTAGTTTCAGTGAAACATATGTATTTTTAAGTGTTCATTGTCAGTATGCAATTGTATCTGTCCTATTTGAATAGGTAACATAAGATGTATGTGCCTGGTAAACTGTATTTGTATCATTGTAGGGTATAAACTTTATTAAAATACTACTGGTCTGTAACTCTCAGTGTTGGGTCAGCTTTTTGTTAACTACCCATTTCCCTCCTCAGTTTCAAAAACATTTTTCCTAATTTGATATAATTACCTGCCCTTTTCCATCAAGTGAGTCTTGGATTGTATCTAATTATGTCAATATATATATATATATATATATATATATGTATATTTATATTCATATTTTTGTACACTTAACTGAATTAGTCATAAAATGAGCACATTTCAATTCATTTATACATCTGTTTAAATTCGTAGCAACTTATTGACAAAGTATCAATATTTCATACTGATTTTAACAGGTTCTTAATATCCTTGGATTTGTGAGGAATTAACAAAAATATAAAGATAAATCAAATATATGTGGTCTTATTTGTTTGCGATTCAATAAACTGTACTCTGCACAGCGTAATCCAATGTGCAACCACAGTAAAATTATGCACAGATACCTCAATCTATTTTAAGAATCCACTCATCTGTGTTTTTCTGACAAAAGATCAAACGTGAAAGGAAAAACTGAACAGTTGAGCTTCTGAGTATGCATGTCACATGCTGACAGGGGCAAACACAAAGCTTTCAGATAAGCTATTTCTAAGACTATCAGAGTTTTCTATACCTGATTCACTATACATAAATAAATACATTTTTCAAATACTTCTTCCCGTTCGTCAGAGTCCAACTGGCGTATATACGGAAACTGCTGTCCTAAATGAAATTGTTGCTTTGTAATTTAAGAAAAGTTCTTGTTTTTTTTCAGTGATTATCCAGCTTATTTTTGAAGGAGTTATTTAACTTTTAATGTTGGTGAAATTGGCTGTTCATTTCGAATTGCCAATGTTCTTATTGAAAAAAATCGGAGCATAATCATAGATCGCTTAGGGAATAATTTTAGTATGTCCTCTGCCACAGTGGCGATCAACTTTCATTTACATAAACTTGACTTCTATCGTTGATACTACGCTACTCGGTGTAAATTGGATGTCTAAGTTATTAATTAAAGCTACTGTCTGATTCCGAAGACAAATACAAACCACAATATTTTGACTTGAACGTTCGAGTAATTTTTTCAGGTACCGACAAAGTGTGTACCGGAGGTCTCTATTGATCACCTACTACACGACACGGAAAAGAACTTTTTCCGGAATACGATTCTGATGTGGCATGAGATAAGCTATTTTGATCGATTTCTCTCTCCTTACAGATATATTATATATATGATTTTTTTTTACTTTTCAAAGTCACTCCATACATTAAAGACCAGACAGCATACTCGCGTTCACCAGTATACGTCCCTGCTTTCACACACAAAATAATACACATACATAAGGATATGTAACTTGCATCATCATCATCATCATCATCACCACCACCACCATTAATCCACTCATTCATACTACTATGTAATTACCAGTATGTATGATTACCTCGTTTTCATTTCAAAATTATACACATCCATAATGTCAATAGTTGTCACTCATATTACACACACATCCACACACTTACACACCTTCACACATACAAACACGCATACATGTACGCACATTTTAGCAAAAGGTGGCGATAAGTATAGCAAAGGAATGAAGGGAAAGAGAAGTAAGAGACAGGATCACAGGCATGGTTTCGTGGTATATAAATATAAAAGAGGCCAAAACAGTGAGCTAATCGGGCGAAAACAAGGTTAAAATGATCATGAAGAAGTATTCAAAGTAGCCAACTAGAACTGGAATCATAAATCAGCAGTATATATATAAGAGCTATCCGAATAATGCTGATATTGATAATAATAAAAAAAATCAAACAAAAAATAGACTTTCTGGATTATATCATTATAATTCCACGAGAGGTTTTCATTTTCTCCAACCTTTTTCAAAATATCCTTTGATCCGCTCACTTCTACTGTTATTTACACATTTTTGAACCAGGAAATGATCTTTTATCTTTTTTTTGATGAGTGTATTGAGGTTTACAGATTTGTGGAGGCATCTAGTTTTGTAAATATAATGTTTGATGATAATTAAAATTTCATTATTCACATGATTACAACATTGTGTTACTATTCCAAGAAGAAACGAATCCTTGTTCTAAGCAAATTTGTCCGTAGTTTTATTTCGATTCAATTTGAGTTTAAATGAAAGATTTCGTTAATATGTTGGTTTTTGCTTCGTTGTGTTTTTAACGGAAGAGCTCGTTCAAATATCACAATTTCTCAATATATCAATTCGCTGACTCGTATCAAAAGACCATTTGTGTGTTTCTGTATTTGTTTTGGGCGATACTAAGTTAATAAAGTAGTACATAGTGTGCACCCTTAACAAAACAGTAAATAACAGAAAAGAAAAATGAAAAGAAAAAAAAGAGGAGAAATATTTGCAGTGAGACCCATAAAACATGCAAATGAAATAAAATCAGCGTAAATTTAGGTCAACCCGAGACCGAATAGGATCAAACAATAGAGTCTATAGTAACTTATATCAAATCAATGAAATGACCTGCTATTTTGTTTCGAGGCGTATCCCGAAATCCAGCACTTTTTCTTTATGAAGTCCAAGATAAGAATATATTCTTTTACCCCAAAGTGAATTTTTATAAGTTTTTATATGTTTATTTGCTTATGACTTTTTGACAAAAGATGTGAGTATTCCCAAATGCCAAGTGTCATGAACAACCGCCACGTTACATTTAAAAGGCGAAACATTTTAAAAGTATATGACGTCTATGTACTTAGCTGTATAATTTACAGTTAGATAGAAAGTAAGTATTGATCTAATAGCTAGCATGGTCGAGATTAGAGAAAGGTATTGTATTTTTTTCTGTGTATTTACAGAAAGAGATTCTTGAGCTAAGTATAATAAGGACTGACAGCATGACAAGTCACGCATTATTGACTATAGAGATTAATGGCATTTTCTGTGTCGATTTGAAAAATTATTAACGACACAGAAAAATAAATTCTGTTTAAAAGAATATATTGCATGTTTTGCCATTATCAGAAAATTTGACATACAAACTTATCAATCAATCAATGCATTATACATTTGCTGTCTATTATACTTCACGAGAGTCTAACTATATCTACATCAGTAAGGAAAGGTTATTATAAGTAAAGAAGATATGACAATATTGATACAAGCCTGTAAAGATTAAGTTAGCATGTAGGTAAAAACCTACACTTTACTTGAGTTCTCTAGGTTGGGAATAAATTTTGTCCGTGAAGAATTCTCATGTAAAACTAGCGCGTAAGTATTTTTTTCTTAGTTTACTAAACAGAAACGATATATAATTAATTATTAGTTACGGTTCGATGATTACATTCGTTATAAGACTCCGTTTATTTCTTAAAATTTCTTCCTTGATAAACAGGTGCAAGTTTAACGTAAAAAATTAATATTCTGCTAAATTACGTCTATAGCTTAAGACATTACATCATTACAATATGTCGTAAGTTCTATATACATTTTACTGCGTTATTCCTCTTAATGTTTTTCTATAACAGACGTGAACAATGTGTATATTATACAAAAAATAACTCCGTTTATAAAAAAAGACAAATATTGCAAGTTAAAGATTTAAATTGTAACTACATATTTGTATCCTCATATTCAATAATTAGTTAATCGTTTTGAAAACAGAATGTTGTTTGCCGGACTTGCATGTTTGTTTATTTGTTTTTGTTTTTTTTTGTGTGTGTTTGTGGGTTTTTTGCTTTTGATTTTTTTGAGGGGGAGTGGGTTCCATAATTGATTACTAATCTTGAAAATCCATTTGCTGTTCAACACATTATCTAGAGATCAAAACTGAATTCGGCACAGCGATCATCATTCGATAAAAATTAACATTCCAAATCAGACTAAAAAAAAACAATACCATCAAGGAACCGTTTTTCATGACGGATATTCACGTAAGTGTAGATATAATATATGTCTAGCACTCGAAGAAAAAAACATACATGTATCGTCTTTTGTGACATCTCAAAGGCTTTTGATAGAGTTTGGCATAAAGGTTTGTTTATTAAGTTAAAATCCTATTGAATAGACGGAGAGCTATTGGCTTGGTTGAAGGACTATTTACATCAGAGACATCAAAAAGTATGTGTTAATGGGTCATTTTCTAAATTAGGTTTTATAGATGCTGGGGTTCCACAGGGTTCTATTCTTGGCCCTCTTTTATTTCTAATTTATATTAATGATATAGCAGATGTATTTGATTCAGCTTCAAAACTTTTCGCAGATGACACTTCTCTCCAATGTTCTTCTTCCTCCTATCAAGAAATTCAAACTATCCTTAACAAAGACCTTGAATCTCTTAATTCATGGGCTAAAACATGGCTTGTAACTTTTAATCCTGACAAAACGGATGTACTTTTCATCTCTAATAGTAATGAAATAGAAGGTTTATTAGAATTAGAATTTGATGGAAATATTTTAGATTTCACTGATAGTCACAGACATCTAGGTGTTATTCTCAACTCAAGTATTAAATGGGGGGATCATATTGAAGTCATTTACTCATCTGTTATGAAAAAAAATACGTTTTGAGAAAATTGAAATTTGTATTAAAACGGGATGCGCTTTTAAGAATTTATCGTACTTTTATATCACCCATTCAAGAATACGCTTGAGAATTGTGGTTGGAATAATCTGGATAACTCAATCAGGTCGTCATCCTCATTAAGGTGTTTTTAAAAAGTCTTTAAAACCTATCGAGCACATTTCTCCACCTTCTCATTATGGGATAGGTGACCGTAAATTAAATATCATACTAACGAAACTTAGACACCAGTGCAGTTCTTTAAATCATGATTTATTCAGGGTAAACCTTGTGGATACCCCCAGTTGTTCTTGTGGACATTTGTGTGAAAATTCTTATCATTTTTTCTTTATGTGTTGTCATTATAATTTACAAAGAAATGTTCTTTTTCAACATTTAGATGATTTAAATTTACCCATACATTGTGATTTAGATTTGATATTGTATGGTAATAATGATCTTTCTTTTGAAACAAACTCGAAAATTTTGTTGAATGTCCAAAACTTTATTAAAACTAGTAATAGGTTCACTTGACGTCATCCGCCTGAACTACCCCCTCAATCCTCTCTCTCTCTCTCTCTCTCTCTCTCTCTCTCTCTCTCTCTCTCTCTCTCTCTCTCTCTCTCTCTCTCTCTCTCTCTCTCTCTCTCTCTCCTAAAATATGTAGTTAGTGTATTTGTTGCCATATGGCTATTGCGTTGTCTGACTATATTTTGTTATATATTGGGGAAAGGGTGTTTCATAAGTTGTAATAACTTGTACCTAATCCTGTTGTAATAATTTTTGCAATAAAATATGTTTAATTCAATATAGATACCAGGACGAATAAACGCGCTTCTGATGGAACTTTCCACATCATATGTAGTTGCCGTTGTCTCCATATTATTGAATTTATCATGTTAATCATCTCACAAATTTGAAATGATGAAACATATTGCTTTCGCTTTCATTTTATGTCTTTTCGTGTAATCTATTATTTATTATTTTTTTTGTAATAATTATCCCAATAGGTATACTCTAGATCTGTCGCATTGTAGAATGACACGAATTCTTATAAATATATTTTGACGCAATTGTTGCTATTTATTACAAGACGACAGTCCCTCCCCACGCTTAAGTGACTGTATATTTTGTGGGAGATAACTTGGTTGATGGACTTGTGACGTCACTGGTGACGTAGGTGTTAGGTAGCCTATATAATGCTAGTAGACAAAGCAACGGATCATATATTTTCTCTTGAATAAAAAGCACTCTTGGTTATCTTCGAGGTGACCTCTTTTGCTAGCAAGTTTTGTTTTTTCATTAAAATGAAATAGAGTAATACTGGGGAAAAAAGGGGGGAAAATGTTTTGACAGCTGCAAATCTCCAAAACATAAATTAAAGAAAAAAAGTTTAAATCCTATATTTGATAATCATTTTCAAGACTTTATGTTTTTAAAGAAAAGTTTGGGAATTATATTTATAACTATTTTTCATCATCGTATTGGTAATTTTCAGCCACGTGTTTTTAACTAAAAAAAATAGGAAACAGACTGAGATACTTATTTTCGGGTCTTAAAATTCAAGGAAAGTGATCCACAGCATGTTAACGTTCAAGTATTTCAAAAAGTTGATTAGTGGAGGTAATTTAGGCAAGGTTAGTTGAATTTTGACCAAAACTTCAGAATAATACTCAAAAGGTGAACTCTGGTAACGGGAAAATACGATTTCAACCATGCCCTCACAAAATATAGTTCACAAGGAAAAAATCTACAGAACGTCATATTACTCCGCGTTTGGAAAAAAAGTGCTACTGGTAACATAGTGTATTAAAACGTGAGATCGTATGGAATTTGATTTACATCAAATTATGCCCTACTTCCGGTCAAACAGAAGTTTCCTAATATCTTTAAATCTATAAATAAATGTATTTTGTGGGTTTTTTTTTTTAATTTTTAACACGAATACAGATAAACATTAAATTGATAAAACTTACACAGAAACATCTTCTGTTTGTTACAAAGTTTAAATGTAATTTTTTTTCTTTATATGCAGACCACGGTTGTTCTTGTTCTTCTATCGGACTGGTCATGACCATGTTCCTGAAAGGCGTGGCCGTCACATTGTTATGTGTGATGAATCTCGCCACAGGTACGTCTATGATTTGAGAAATCCTTGCTGTATTATTCATAATTTGACCCTTTTGCTGTTAATTGTACATTTATACATTTGTGTGTGTGTGTGTGTGTGTGTGCGTGTGCGTGTGTGTGTGGTTTTTTTTTTTTTCGATTTTTCCCCTTGCGGAGACCAACTGTATTTGTAATACCCAATTTATCCATGATCAATACCACAAATTTTTATACTCAACACTTCTATGAACACTATTTCCCTATGTTTGAGTTCGATGACCAATAAAATAGAACACTATTGTGACCATATTACGTATATTTCTAAAAGAAACCCAAATTATACATAAAGCACATTAGTGACAGCTTAGGGATCGGATTGTTGAGGTACTGTCTAGAATTAATTATGACCAGTTGCCTTCAGGCATTTTATAATTTGCTGGACATACCATGTAGTTGTTTACAGATGTGTCTTCTGGTATTAAAACAACGTACTACCACAGATTCGAACGTGTCCAATTCCAACACTAGACAGTGTGTTTCCCAAGATTATTTAAGTCAATTAATTATCTGGGTTGTGAAAAAAACATTTGAAATCACACGAGGTCACTTTTTTTGTTCGTATCCTGTTATTAAGGAAAACTTTATTCAATGAAACGATTGAAGAAAATTAAACTTTATGTTACACGATATTTTGTCGTGTTAGCCATACACTCACATTTCAATCGCTGTAAATATAAGGTTTTATCATTCCGGGGAAATTATTTGGTCATTTCATTCTACCAAGAAACAATTTTCACCTGGTTTGTCTGTTTAAGAAACACTGTGCTACATCGATCCCAATATTCCTTCAATATATGTATTTATACTCTCTACATAGATGCATTTCCCAGCCTACAGCCACTTACTTAATATCCCGGAAATGAACATTTACACCAGTCTTAACTTGGTCAGTGTTTTAGGGTAGCTTATTAAGGTTAAGTAAGTGCCTCAGATTATTTAGGTCTAAGATTATTCATTTTGATCACTAACACAGAAATATACTTAGTCTTAATTTGACACCCTAAGTGGATCCAACATAAAGACAGATGTCCTATGGACTATAATATAGAGATCTGGGTTTATGCCACTCTTAGTCCCATTTCAAATCCTACTTAACTTAAGGAAGTGTTCCTTAACTTTCAATTTCCTATAGGAAAGCATTACATAAGTTAAGGAGATTGCCTTAAATTTAGGTTTTTTTCTTAACTGCATAATGCATTTTTATAGTAGTTAAGATTTACTTAAGTTAAAGATTTGTGAAACTGCTGGCAGATCGATATGGGGGTTGTGGGTTGGGATTTATTCCCATTTCGCCTTAGTGCCAAAAGCAGGTAGGAAGAAGTCAGCTGCGGTGAAATGGAACATTGTATATACAAATTAAGGAAGTCAAGTATTTATTATATTATATATATCTTACATCTATGCCGCCTTTGGTCAATTATAATTAACTGTAGAATGAGTTATTGTAAAAACAACAACCGCTGCATGTAATAGGTTCGTTGATCTTTCCACACTTTTCCTAAATTTTCCATTTCGCCCTAGCACATTCCCACCTGCTTTATACCAAAATATGTAACTAAGGCGAAATGGGAACACACACCCCTGAACACCCACACTGGATATCTGCGAAGGCGTGGGCTTACATTAAGATATCAATCTAAAATGTTCCACAGGAATTAAGATGTGGTAACCCGCATTTTTAAGGTATGGCAGTTAACATAATTTTCACTAAGAAATGTAAGTTTTAATCTTATGAACGTAATCGGATATCAAAATCTAAGTTTACATATTTATGTACATATTTCTTTACTTACGAACTTGGGATAGGTGATGGGTCATTCTCTTTTGTCGAAACACGTGCTTGTTGTTGTAGACCTTGTTGTCAATGAAGCAAATGACTCTTACTCTTCCAGAACACCTGGTCTTACCCTCCTCGTACTTTTTCAGGAATCTCCGTGCAAATATTTTGCCATAGTTTTATAGAATTAAGATTTGGATTATGTTTATGTTGACATGTTGGTATTTTATTTTCTTGATTTTTTAAATTGTTTTTTAAATCGAATAATATTTTTCATTAATTGGTAATGTTATCTTTTGATACAATAGTCAGACCAATTGGTGAAATAAAGCTGTGATTGAACATAGTTTTATTTAAAACACGGTGATTGGTTGGTGATTCATATTCATCAATATCAAATTTATGATTGCTAACATATGGTTCATATTCTCTGTTTTGTTATAGCATTTATGAAATTAAACGAGGAAGTTTGTATGTTGTTAACCATAGTATATATTGTATATATTGACCATGTACCGGGGTAGTTTGCATGTTGTTAACTATAGTATGTTGACCATGTACCGGGGTAGTTTGTATATTGTTAACTATAGTATATTGACCATGTACCGGGGCAGTTTGTATGTTGTTAGCCATAGTATATTGACCATGTACCGGGGTAGTTTGTATATTGTTAGCCATAGTATATTGACCATGTACCGGGGTAGTTTGTATGTTGTTAACCATAGTATATTGACCATGTACCGGGCAGTTTGTATATTGTTAACCATAGTATATTGACCATGTACCGGGGTAGTTTGTATGTTGTTTACCATAGTATATTGACCATGTACCGGGGTAGTTTGTATGTTGTTAACCATAGTATATTGACCATGTACCGGGCAGTTTTGTATATTGTTAACCATAGTATATGGACCATGTACCGGGGTAGTTTGTGTGTTGTTAACCATAGTATATTGACCATGGACCGGGGTAGTTAATATATTGTTAACCATAGTATATTGACCATGTACCGGGGTAGTTTGTATGTTGTTAAGCACAGTATATTGGTCGTGTACCGGGGTAATTTACGTATCATTAACCATCTTGAACAATGAACGAACTCGATCAAAAAGACTAAATTATTTAAATTTTTTAAAGACAGGAGGAAAACATAGTGTTCAGACATGTAAACAATACCTAAATTAAAATTTGAAATTATGAAGAAAGGATAAATTTACATAGACGCCCAATACAGTAGGATATTAAGACCAGGTGTTGCGGATATGTAAGCGTCTTCAGCTTCATCAACGAGAGCCGGAATGTCACTCTTTGTCAACCTCAAATGCAATGCTTAGTTTCCAATAAGAACCGGTTTTACAACAGTAGGTATGTATGTTTAATATCAAAAATAGTGAGAAAAAAGGAAACTTCCAGACACGCTTGTGAATATCTTACGTCGTATGCAAAATGAAATATAATATTTCCCTATGGTTTCATGATCCGTAATATCTCTATCAACTATAATCTGTTGGAACTCTGTATGGTAAGTTAGTATGTCAGCTGTCGATATAATACAAGCCCTTGAATATCAAATCAACTGTGTCTTTCAAATGATTTTTAAACGTTTTAAAATGTCATTTACTACTCTTTCGTCAAGAACAGTAATGTTTTTTTCTTTCCTTTGTTATTTTCGTTTCATACCGATATTGTAAAACTGATTACAAAGCGCTATGACATAACATGGATAAACTTAAGCCTACTATTGCCCCCTCGAATATTTACCGTCATGTTGTATGTCTGGAGATGTTGTTCTTACAGCTCAAATGTTCATTTGTACACGAACAAAGAATTGTGTGCTTCATATATCAATAACATGAATTATAAAATATATTTTACACCGAAAAATTTTTTTATTAACTTAATAAGCTGGTCATACTCAGAGAAACGTAACATTGACCATAAATCACTAATTGTAGTGAGGTTGTGCTTTGTTGTATTTAATACCTTACTAAGTGATATATGTCAATAATTTACAATTCAAGATCAAGTATTTGTATCAACCCTTCAAGGATAGGCAGGGATATATATAAATATAGATAGATATATATTTAATATTGAATTAGTGTTAATGTCGACTGGGTGGCACAGATTGTTCATGTGGGCGGGGTGGCACAGATTGTTCATGTGGGCGCGGTGACACAGGGTGTTCATGTTGGCACGGTGATACAGGGTTGTAAGGTTGGGTAGGTGACAGGTTGTTCATGTTGGCTAGGTGACATAGAGTGATCATGTTGGCTAGGTGACAGAGTGATCATGTTGGCTGGGTGACACAGAGTGATAATGTTGACTAGCTGACACAGGGTCTTCATGTTGGCTTAGGGATACAAGGTGGATGGCACATGTTAATTTCGGCTGGGTGACACATAGTGTTTATGTTGGCATGGTGACACAGGATGTTCATGTTGGCATGGTGACACAGGATGTTCATGTTGGCATGGTGACACAGGATGTTCATGTTGACTGCGTGACCCTTGGGTGGATGACACAGGTTGGATGACTCAAAATGGGTGACATAGGGTGCTCACTGTAAACTTCAAAACTAGCTAAACTTATCGTCGTCCACTGATAATGAATGGAGAATGAAGTAGTAAATACTTAAAAGCAGTTGTTTCTTTTGTATTGAATATGGTTTCCTATAGAAGGCGGCTCTCTGTGACATTGTGTAGTGATAGTGTCTTCATTACATTACTGTGCATTAACCGATCAGTGATGTGAGAATCATCAAACTGCAGTCGCCAGATCAGAAGTTGAGGTCACGGATGTTAAGTTTTCGTTTTCTTAATTTCCTGATTATGTTGTTATGATGCTGAACGAACGTTGCTAAGAGTTGAACAAGAAAGTATGTCAACAAAGGTCAAGCAACTCGGGTCAAAGTTCTGAATAACGGAGATAAAATTTCACTTCTCTTCACTGATTTTTTTTTCTTCATTCGTTGCAGTAAATGAAACTTTAAATGAAACTCAATTATTTTAATAGCGATACGTTTCAGAATTTATATATGTGTTTAACTCACATGCATGAAAATCATGTGACCGTGTCACCATTATTTCTTACATATATCAATTATAAGTGTAAATTTCACTATTATTTCTCACGGATATTAATTATAAGTGTAGATATCACCATTATTTCTCACGGATATTAATTATAAATGTAGATTTCACCATTATTTCTCACGGATATTAATTATAAGTGTAGATTTCACCATTATTTCTCACAGATATTAATTATAAGTGTAGATTTCACCATTATTTCTCACAGATATAAATTATAAGTGTAGATTTCACCATTATTTCTCACGGATATTAATTATAAGTGTAGATTTCACCATTATTTCTCACGGATATTAATTATAAGTGTAGATTTCACCATTATTTCTCACAGATATAAATTATAAGTGTAGATATCACCATTATTTCTCAGGGATATCAATCATAAATGTAGATTTCACCATTATTTCTCACAGATATAATTATAAGTGTAGATTTCACCATTATTTCTCACGGATATTAATTATAAATGTAGATTTCACCATTATTTCTCACAGATATTAATTATAAGTGTAGATTTCACCATTATTTCTCACAGATATTAATTATAAGTGTAGATTTCACCATTATTTCTCACAGATATAAATTATAAGTGTAGATTTCACCATTATTTCTCACGGATATTAATTATAAGTGTAGATTTCACCATTATTTCTCACGGATATTAATTATAAGTGTAGATTTCACCATTATTTCTCACAGATATAAATTATAAGTGTAGATATCACCATTATTTCTCTGGGATATCAATCATAAATGTAGATTTCACCATTACTTCTCACAGATATAAATTATAAGTGTAGATTTCACCATTATTTCTCACGGATATTAATTATAAGTGTAGATATCACCATTATTTCTCAGGGATATCAATCATAAATGTAGATTTCACCATTACTTCTCACAGATATAAATTATAAGTGTAGATTTCACCATTATTTCTCACGGATATTAATTATAAGTGTAGATTTCACCATTAGTTCACACGGATATTAATTATAAGTGTAGATTTCACCATTACTTCTCACAGATATAAATTATAAGTGTAGATTTCACCATTATTTCTCACGGATATTAATTATAAGTGTAGATTTCACCATTATTTCTCACGGATATTAATTATAAGTGTAGATTTCACCATTATTTCTCACAGATATAAATTATAAGTGTAGATATCACCATTATTTCTCAGGGATATCAATCATAAATGTAGATTTCACCATTACTTCTCACAGATATAAATTATAAGTGTAGATTTCACCATTATTTCTCACGGATATTAATTATAAGTGTAGATATCACCATTATTTCTCGGGGATATCAATCATAAATGTAGATTTCACCATTACTTCTCACAGATATAAATTATAAGTGTAGATTTCACCATTATTTCTCACGGATATTAATTATAAGTGTAGATTTCACCATTATTTCTCACGGATATTAATTATAAGTGTAGATTTCACCATTATTTCTCACAGATATAAATTATAAGTGTAGATATCACCATTATTTCTCACGGATATTAATTATAAGTGTAGATTTCACCATTACTTCTCACAGATATAAATTATAAGTGTAGATTTCACCATTATTTCTCACGGATATTAATTATAAGTGTAGATTTCACCATTATTTCTCACGGATATTAATTATAAGTGTAGATTTCACCATTATTTCTCACAGATCTAAATTATAAGTGTAGATATCACCATTATTTCTCAGGGATATCAATCATAAATGTAGATTTCACCATTACTTCTCACAGATATAAATTATAAGTGTAGATTTCACCATTATTTCTCACGGATATTAATTATAAGTGTAGATTTCACCATTATTTCTCACGGATATTAATTATAAGTGTAGATTTCACCATTATTTCTCACGGATATTAATTATAAGTGTAGATTTCACCATTATTTCTCACAGATCTAAATTATAAGTGTAGATATCACCATTATTTCTCAGGGATATCAATCATAAATGTAGATTTCACCATTACTTCTCACAGATATAAATTATAAGTGTAGATTTCACCATTATTTCTCACGGATATTAATTATAAGTGTAGATTTCACCATTATTTCTCACGGATATTAATTATAAGTGTAGATTTCACCATTATTTCTCACAGATATAAATTATAAGTGTAGATATCACCATTATTTCTCAGGGATATCAATCATAAATGTAGATTTCACCATTACTTCTCACAGATATAAATTATAAGTGTAGATTTCACCATTATTTCTCACCGATATGAATAAATAAGTGTAGATTTCACCATTATTTCTCACGGATATTAATTATAAGTGTAGATTTCACTATTATTTCTCACGGATATTAATTATAAGTGTAGATTTCACCATTATTTCTCACGGATATTAATTATAAGTGTAGATTTCACCATTATTTCTCACGGATATTAATTATAAGTGCAGATTTCACCATTATTTCTCACAGATATTAATTATAAGTGTAGATTTCACCATCATTTCTCACGGATATTAATTATAAGTGTATATATCACCATCATTTCTCACGGATATTAATTATAAGTGTAGATTTCACCATCATTTCTCACGGATATTAATTATAAGTGTAGATTTCACCATTATTTCTCACGGATATTAATTATAAGTGTAGATATCACCATTATTTCTCACGGATATTAATTATAAGTGTAGATTTCACCATTATTTCTCACAGATATTAATTGTAAGTGTAGATTTCACCATTATTTCTCACCGATATGAATAATAAGTGTATATTTCACCATTATTTCTCACGGATATTAATTATAAGTGTAGATTTCACCATTATTTCTCACGGATAGTAATTATAAGTGTAGATTTCACCGTTATATCCACTTACCTAAACATATGGTATCACTGGTTCATAGATCAAGATACTGTTGGTAAATCACTACGCATGTGATTTTATTCCGATTAAACCATTTTCCATTTCTTTTAAATTCGTTTTCTTTATACTTCTCCAGGATTTCCATGTACTTATTTTGAGAACGTGACATTATTTTAACCTGGCATGTCAGGTATCATCGACGAGGAGGATCCCAGTTACCCTTTGTTTTCAGATTTGTTATCTTTATACTTCTTCACTGCTCTTGCAAATATTCAAGTTTGAATCACTTTTCTGTTAACATGTCTGTAAGTTGTTCCGACTAGTTTGTGTGGTTAAGAAAAACATAATACGACTTACTGACATGAAAACCGTGTTATTCTTTGTCGTTATCTGATCTCGGCAGTTAAAAAAATTAATTCGTTATTTGGTATTTTATCAATACAACTTTACCACAAATTGATTTTTCAAAGTATCATTTCCTTAACAATAAACTGTTTGTTTTCTCTCCTGTATAATTTCGTCTATAATATTTATATTTTCTTACTTTAGTTTATGGTTCTACAACTTCTGGATCAGTCACTGCTTCGACTGACAGTAGCACACAATATATAGACTCTGCTTCGACTGACAGCAGTACACAATACATGGGCTCTGCTTCGACTGACAGTAGTACACAATACACGGGCTCTGCTTCGACTGACAGTAGTACACAATACACGGGCTCTGCTTCGACTGACAGTAGTACACAATACACGGGCTCTGCTTCGACTGACAGTAGTACACAATACACGGGCTCTGCTTCGACAGACAGTAGTACACAAAACATGGGTTCTTCGTCAACAGACAGTAGTACACAATACACGGGCTCTGCTTCGACTGACAGTAGTACACAATACACGGGCTCTGCTTCGACTGACAGTAGTACACAATACACGGGCTCTGCTTCGACTGACAGTAGTACACAATACATGGGCTCTGCTTCGACTGACAGTAGTACACAATACACGGGCTCTGCTTCGACAGACAGTAGTACACAATACACGGGCTCTGCTTCGACAGACAGCAGTACACAATACACGGGCTCTGCTTCGACAGATAGCAGTACACAATACACGGGCTCTGCTTCGACTGACAGTAGTACACAATATATGGGCTCTGCTTCGACAGACAGTAGTACACAATACACGAGCTCTGCTTCGACAGACAGTAGTACACAATACACGGGCTCTGCTTCGACTGACAGTAGTACACAATACATGGGCTCTGCTTCGACAGAAAATAGTACACAATACACGGGCTCTGCTTCGACAGACAGTAGTACACAATACACGGGCTCTGCTTCGACAGACAGTAGTACACAATACATGGGTTCTTCGTCAACAGACAGTAGTACACAATACATGGGCTCTGCTTCGACAGACAGCAGTACACAATACATCGGCTCTGCTTCGACAGACAGCAGTACACAATACACGGGCTCTGCTTCGACAGATAGCAGTACACAATACACGGGCTCTGCTTCGACAGACATTAGTACACAATACACGGGCTCTGCTTCGACTGACAGTAGTACACAATACACGGGCTCTGCTTCGACTGACAGTAGTACACAATACACGGGCTCTGCTTCGACTGACAGTAGTACACAATACACGGGCTCTGCTTCGACAGACAGTAGTACACAATACACGGGCTCTGCTTCGACTGACAGTAGTACACAATACGCGGGCTCTGCTTCGACAGGCAGTAGTACACAATACGCGGGCTCTGCTTCGACAGACAGTAGTACACAATACCCGGGCTCTGCTTCGACTGACAGTAGTACACAATACACGGGCTCTGCTTCGACTGACAGTAGTACACAATACACGGGCTCTGCTTCGACAGACAGTAGTACACAATACACGGGCTCTGCTTCGACTGACAGTAGTACACAATACATGGGCTCTGCTTCGACAGACAGCAGTACACAATACACGGGCTCTGCTTCGACAGACAGTAGTGCACAATACATGAGTTCTGCTTCGACCGACAGTAGTACACAATACACGGGCTCTGCTTCGACAGACAGTAGTACACAATACATGGGTTCTTCGTCAACAGACAGTAGTACACAATACACGGGCTCTGCTTCGACAGACAGTAGTACACAATACATGAGTTCTGCTTCGACAGACAGTAGTACACAATACATGGGTTCTTCGTCAACAGACAGTAGTACACAATACACGGGCTCTGCTTCGACAGACAGTAGTACACAATACATGGGCTCTGCTTCGACAGACAGTAGTACACAATACACGAGCTCTGCTTCGACAGACAGTAGTACACAAGACCCGAGTTCTTCGTCTACAGACAGCAGTACACAATACATGGGTTCTTCGTCAACAGCCAGTAGTACACAATACATGGGTTCTTCGTCAACAGACAGTAGTACACAATACATCGGCTCTGCTTCGACCGATAGTAGTACACAATACATAGGCTCTACATCTACAGACAGTAGTACACAATATATAGGCTCTACTCAATCCACCGGCAGTGCCCAACAAATTAGCTCAAGTTCATCAAGTGGTAGCACACAAATAAGCTCTATCGGAAGTAGCACACAACCAACGTTGACTTCAACAACTTTGGTAAGCAACTCTACCACGTCATCACAAGCAACAACAACGAGTTCTGTGACCACAAACCAGCAAGCAACAACAACAACAACAACAACATCAACAACAACAACGCCAACGACAACAACCGCTATCGATAATGTAGATAATACCGCATGCGTGAACGGTAGCGGAAGTTGCTTCCTCCAAGATGACTCGCTGGGAGCTGGAGGTACGTCTCATAACTAGTCTGGGAAATATTAAGTAACGTTACAACAAAGGAAAAAAATCATGCTGAAATGATGATAAAACACGAGACGTTTCGCAATACAATACAAGAAGCGGCAAAAGGGACGAGGGTTATGAAATAGGAGATATATTCAAACAAATGTGTACTCAAATTACTTGCATGTGCCGTTTAAAAAACACTATTCAAACAGATTATGCTATAAACCTCTAATCTCCGAACTTTTCTTCTGACAATATATTGTAAATCTTTCATCATTATTTCTCTGGTGCAGGCATTTTTTTATAACTTTAGTGGAAAACACTGGCGTGATACTCATTCAATCTTTGTGAGATTGTTATATACGTACAGAAATGACTATAATACCTACAATAGTTCTAATGCTGTGTTTGGTTTAACATTTACTCTTATCGTTTGCTTTGTTACAGCATCTCCCTTATGCAGCTTCGTATTCGTCCGTCATATGGTAACATCGATTTCCATGGCGATGCTGACGTATGCGTTGAAGTGGTAAGGTTCCCAACTGGTTGATGACGTCACGATACCAAAGTACTGGACTATTAAACTGTCGGATACTTCTCATTCTAAATTGTGAAACTAATTTTAAATGACACACATTAGAGAAAACATCTAAAACACTGAGTTCCCAAAGACGTTCTCTCGGCTATAGACAAATCTACAATGATAACCGTTTCCGAATACATGTTACCAGCATCACTCGATAGAGCTAACTTCTGTTAGATTCATTCAGTGTCATTTTATTGAATTCTGGTGGAAGCGTGGGACTAACGTCACAGAACTTTTTTCGTATGTGTAAGTCCATTAAGTTAGAATCTGAAGGATTCATTCCGGAAACTAAATTCTGGTGGATACATGGAAAAACTACCCCCCATTCTCGGCTCCTATCGACTGTCAACCATACAGAGTGAAACGAAGGGCAGTAACTCTGGATAATTAGGATGACGTATCCTCGATGGAAATAATTTCTGATACGTTACTTTCAACGCCAGTTAACGGAATTTGTGCATGACGTTAGAATCTGTCGGATTTGTTCCAGGAAATAAATTCTGATGGATGCGTGGAGCTAACGTCGCAGAACTTTTTTCATATATTTATCAAATACAAACTGATAATCAAGGATTAATTTGTACACACCGGATCTTCTAACAAGCAAATGGAAAATTGAATCAAACTAATCTGAATTAATGACACGACGTTGAAACGAAATTTTGGTTTTATTTCTTACCACGACTGAATTGTAAAACTAAGATAAACATACAAAGGTAGCTCGTGACATACGTGATAAATGCTTAGATAATACGGAAATGGTCGGTATACCCCGTGATAAATGTTTAGATACCTTGCTAGAAATATTTAATTAACTTTTGTTGTTTTTCATTTACAATCGTAGTTTGATAAATACCATTTTAAGTATATATCTGTATTATATCAATGTCATCATTATTAATATTGTCTGAATGCTTATTTTCAAACGTCTTACGGCTTTTTATAGCATTTTGACATGGAGTGTTCTATATACAACAACACTTTTCTCGGTAACTATTTCTTTTCCCGTTTGTTCTACACTTAGTTGTTTGTTTATTTAATATGGATGCCATGTTGAATATCATGTACAAGAGTTTAAGCATTTCATATCTCTCGATTTATTTTGTTAGAAAACAACGTATACCCGTTTCGTGATATTGTTTAATTACATTGCTTGTTTCCTTGTTGTTATTTTTGTTGATGTTTACTTGTTGACATTACGAATTATTTTAGGATTATAAACTTTTACTAGATAAGCATTATTATCGACAACGTTTTGAAAGAAACAGAATGTATAATATATTCAAAAGTTAGATTACGTAAACATTTATATATCATTAGCTTTAACCACGCTAATTTAGTTTCATGTGAAATTATTATCATAATGCGTTTTCCTTACCGTTTGTACTATTCTATCAAATTTTAGACAGTGACGTTCACTTTCGATGATCTAGTTCTTACAGCTGGTTCACATTTAAAAATTGTGTTAATACAGTGGTAGTTTTTGTAAAGACATATAACTTTGAAAATTTGAATTATGGGGCTAAGACACCTCCCCATCTAGATTTTGATATTTCTTTCGATCATTTTTGGTTGCCCTCAGATGCCGTATTGGTTTTAAAATTTAGGCCCTGAACATCACTGTCGAGTCCGAGGATGTATGATGCAGTATATGTGATATTTCTCAATCGGACACAAATTAAATACCTTTTGGTCTTTCGTCATTAACATCTACCTGTTTCCATGGCAATGTTAAAAATAGCTATTGTTTCTCTGTTTATTATTATGACGATACTGCAAACTTTTACATGCAATGAGATATTAAATCATACACTTAACATCTCTCATAGATTATTTGTTTTTTTATTTTATTTATTTATTTTTGTTATTTACTCCGAAATTAACTCTTCAAACATGATCTCGGTTAAGGCCACACGGTAAACATAAAGTCACAAGAAACACACATGCCGAATATGAAAACCCTACGTTTTATAGAGTAATAGTTAAGATTAAAACTTACAACAGACAGCACAAAAACTATGCCCCCGTTCTTTTGATCCGAGGGCATAAAATTTTATATCATTTGTACTTGTCACCATATTTCCAATGTTATTTTCAATTTCATCCAAAATTGTATCTACTGGAATTCCTAAAGACAGCTTTATTAAATTATTAATGCAAGTACACAATGTTATCTTACCAAAGGTGCTGTAACAGAATTCGTATCCGGGTCTTGAAAATCAGATGCCTGCAGGCAAATCCTCCGAGACTGTACATTAAAATATAAATATATAAATTCATAAATTTCCTGATATCAACTAAACTACTGACATTTAAGTTTAAAGAAACGTCTACCAGAGCAATTTGTTAGGACATGGTTTTATTGTTTCAAGATTATTTTCAAACTCAAAACATAAACATTGGACTTGTAGCATGGTTATAAAGATTATAAAATTAAGGTAGCTTTGATGTGTTATATATGTGTTGGCCCTTTTTACAAGCAGATTTTCTATTGTGAAAGTACATGTATTTTTAACACATTTGGCTCATCTGGTGCCAAGGCATAGTGTCAATCATCCATCCATCCATCAATAGTCAGGCGGCTGGGGACCAATACTATAGGGAAAGTAAATATAAACCTTTTCAAAATTTCTCTTCTATTTGCAAAAGTATACAAATATTTGACATGAGCAAGTCTTATAGGCTCTCTTATTAACCCCAGGATGTCAACACCTGTGGTCGGTAATATGGAACTTATAAGAGTGTTTATGCATCTTTATTAATTAAATACATGAATTGTGTAAGATTGCTATGTATTCTCAAAAATGCAGTTAAGAAATTCTTTGATATCTTAATTTTTCACAGTTGACCTTTCCATTTTCCAGTTTAAATATTTCCTTGTCAAAAGACAAGTATGTATTAATAATGCCCTTTCCTTATAACATAGAATGTACACATCGTAGAGTGTCTAAAATAATTTGAATATAATTAACATACCATTGTTATGAAATAGGGTTTCCTCCATTTTATTATTATTATATATATGTGACACAGAAACATGAAATACACACAATCAGGCTATCCATGCAGAATCTCTAATAAATTTAGTCATGTCAATGGTACCAGCCAGCTCACTTGTCACAATGATATAACACTACTACAAGTTTGTTTCCATTGTGGTTTTTTTTTTTTTTTTTACCAAAGAATAAATGGTCATCCATGGTCATGATGGTTCCAGGCAGGATGAACACTATGGATAACTGAAATAAATGTCATCGGGGTCGTTAAAGACAACACACGCTGAGGTTCTTGTTTTCAGTTCGTTATATCATATATAAGGATGGAACCTACAAAGGCAAAACAAAGACATCACGATACCAAAACGGACCATACAACATCTGGCACACCAAATCGATTCACGCACCTCGCTCCCAACGTTCAAGCACACACATACATATCACTTACCAGACCTCCCACCGCAGTCGCTATCCAAGTTCCCTTTGCAGGGGTATACAATGGTAAACACATTCGCTAGCATGGTCAGAGCTCGAGCGACAGGTTGTTTAGGGACCGGGTGGTATTAGGGGATAAGTGGCGGGAATGCCTGTGACACGCATGCCGGGTGCGTTGGTGATGACTAGTCGTCAGTGTCATAGGTTACGTCGTATATATTTCCCAAACATACACATGTACACAGGACATCACTTGACACGATTACTTTATGACATCACAGGTACATCGGTACGATGTATGTATAGGCCCGGAATATGTATACAGATTCCGTAAACCACATGGGTTACATAAGGTCTAAGGACGAACAAAAAAAGGTGAAATAAATACAATGCAAGAAAACATTCTCTTAATATTTTTAAGTCAAAGTGTCGATCTTACAAGTGGATAGAGTACCTTAAATAGGATTACATTTGACTAAACTGATCGAGTCACTTACTTGCATGCTAAACCACTGACTTGGGACAAGTTGGGTATATCAGATTCTGAAAAAAATAACGACCTGCTAAAGTGGATAAACACCAAGTAAGTAGAAAATTGTGAGAATGGCATGCTCCAGTATGGTATACCATTACGTTCAGTATAGAACACCTTTCATGGAAACCAAATTCTATGTATTTTCAGTGCTGTCAAACAGTAAAACCAGAGACGTATATACGTCCCTGGTAAAACTAAGACGAAATGTATGCCAGATTCAAATAAATGTGGGTGGGCGCGTTTCATTGGTGGAAAAATATCAAACACAATATGAGGTGTATAAAATAAGGCAAAACGTGAATTTGGCAATAGCATAGCGTTGTAATAAATGCATTACCACGGTCATCAACAGAGAATATTTGACTGCATTCGGTTCAAAATTCGCGGCATATCAATTTTGCATACGGAAGTGAGCTGCGCAATCGAGGTAAAAATACGAAACTACCGATAAATCCTAAAAGCTGACCCTGCAGGAAGTAAAATTTAGATGTATTCCGAGTTACAGCAAACATGTCGGCTGGAAAGCATTTCAAGTTTATATCAAGGACCGTATTGGTTAAAAACAATGACATAGACACTGCTTTACTGCTTCTACATAGGTATGGCTATAACATTTAATTTCAGGCAATTGACTTGACGTAAACAAAATTTTAAACAGCAAAGACAAAACTTTCCGTTAAAGAAATGATTTTAAGATACTTCAGTACATCAGTGAGAATACTGTAGCCTACACTTTAGGCATGTTGCACATGCCGTTAAACACTAAAGTTATATAAATATTGAAATATAATGATAATATAAAAAGGCAACGCCTAAATAAGAACTTGATGGTTACCGAAACATAAGCATTAAATTGACGCAGGGCATAGAAATATACTGTGCTATATTTTAATTTCACACGTGCAGGAATAGAAAAGTCCTGCATTTGAGGGATAGTTACTGCTTTGAGGAATCAGTTAATTACTTAAATGCAGGGTCATTCTCAGTAAAAAAAAAAAAAACACGTGAAGTGTTTAAAAATCTTTTACAGATTTGGAACAAAATTGGCTTCATATATTCTGTAAACCATAAAAATATTCTTTAAATTATGTAAGATTCTTACATCTGTTAATGAAGTTGTAACTCTTAACTTGTCATAATCAAGGAAAAGCAAGGTGTTTATGTAAGGGAGGTAAATCAATCTCAGTCACCCAGATGCTTGAACTTAGAATATTTTTAAAGTTTTTAATGTATTGACAGTAAATTAATACATATTTATACAACTTCATACAGTGCTTGGTGATCAAAATTGAGGTATATAACAGGTGCTGTAACCAGATGGGAACAGTTTCATAAATGAATGAAACAATAATGTTAACATTGATCCAAGTGGTTGTTAGGTCTAGTATGTACACATTGTACAATGTTGATCAAAATCAAAGGAAAAATAACTCTGGAAATATATAGTTATCAAATATGTTAAACCTTGAATTTTACTGGAACTGACCTGTAACAAATAAGTTGTTAAAAATAGTTACTGATTATTGATAATGTTTGGATATTGAGCATGTCAGGTTACAGGTTGTGTATAAGATGAAGTCAACAGTATACTTCAGAAAATCATTTGCATGTTTATCTCCTGTTAAAAGTATGACATCAGAGAATACCTACTAACAATGTACATAGACAATAAGTTGAAATGCCAATGTTTCAATCTCTGCTTTGTTTTAGTTTGTCTAAAGATTAGCTTTCTGTTTTGTTTAGGTTTATCAGGGTGATAACTAAAATTGCACTACGGTAAATTTTACATTTGACAGTTTTTCAATTTATTTAAATTCAATTGTCGCTATCCCTAACTATCTAAACAAAATAGAAAATAAATCCTTGTATATGAAGTTTTTCATTATAAAAATTCAGTTGCTTTTCTTATCCATTTCAAAGTTTACAGACACAAAAGTAACAACTATATTCAGTTTGTCTGCCTACATACTAGCTTCATGGTACAGCCTATTGCTTCAGTAATTTTTTCAATATTCATTTATCATTTGCTAAGTACAAAATTCTTATGTTTTTTTCTATTGAAATTCTGTTTAAAAAAAACTCAAAATTTGAAAAAAATGGCATAAGGACCAATAAAAAAATAAAGAGTCATTTTAAAATGCATAAATATTCAGTGTGTAAAAGAATGAGCATGTATAATGATAAAGGGCATTACAAAGGTTATCAGCAGTAACTTTGAATATTAAATGTATGTAAATGTATTGATAAAGTTACCACCCCAAAAAGTCAGATGACAGTCAAATTTGTCGGAGTCAGCTTTGTAGTACTGGTAATGATATCATCAGAGTTGCATATCATATGTCACACAACTGTATGTGATTCAGTCCACCCATTCATGTTCAGTTATGGTGATAATTTTATCATTTTCTTTCTCCAATGGTTGTATGAGATAAGTCACTTTACTTTTACAATACCGCTAGCCACATACAGACCAATATTATGTTGGCCTGGCTGGTACAATATCATTTTCATCTCTGGTTTCACACATGTACAACAGTAATGCCTCAATAATCACATTGTATTACTCTTTACTGTAACAGTTCTGCATCACTCCTTACTGTACCAGTTTTACTACATCACTCCTTAGTGTACCAGTTTTTCTACATCTCTCCTTACTGTACAAGTTTTTCTAAATCTCTCCTTTTTGTACCAGTTTTTCTACATCCCTCCCAGGGTTTTCCATAAGAGCCGGTCGCCGGCCAATTTGACCGGCTACTTTGATCATTTGGCCGTCTACACCAGTCCAGTTCCTTAATAATGTTCTGTACACGACTACACGTACACGGCAGGCCAGCCTCCTATTTTCACTACACAGCCTACTACTAACAAAATTATGGAAAACCCTGCACTCCTTACTGTGACAGGTCTTATTTCTGTTATTGTTTAAGTACTATTGAGGAAAATAAAACATTGATTTACTTTTTTATCATCATTGCTAAATTTGGACCTGCAGTTTGTTATATGTACAATAAAATATTTTATGACTAATTTTGTTTTCTATTGAAGTCTCCTACCAGTGCGTCTGAAATCTTCATTATATACTCCTTCATCACTTGTATTCTTTATTTTGTTTTTTTTACTCAATTTGTTGTTAAAATGTTGCACAAAGACGCAGATACATATTTAAATGTGTGCTTTACTTGATAACAATGAATACAATCTATTTTTCTGTTCTTAAAATCTTAGGAAATGCAATATAAAAAAATTACAGTAAGGTTCTATTTCAGGAAATGAAAAATAAAAAATTAATTTTTTCAATTTCTTCTTGTTTTAGGATAATGCGAGAGGACAAAGTGATGGAACAGATCAGATACAGGCAGAATGGTTTCGAGCCACCATGTATGAAACGACAGAGACTAAGCTATGAGAAATGTAAGCGACTTTACAATGCAGAAATGGAGAGGAAAGTAAAACTTGTATTAAAAAAGAATCGCCCAAATCCATGGCTACGGTGACACCAAATCAACATTATACTTCTACTTGACAAACTGGAGAAGAAATGTCTAGCTTGATTTGTGAAATCAACAATGGACACATGTGTTTGGGAGAAATGAAGTGCATTATTGTATGGTGTAACATCAAGAGCCAGGACAATTGTGAAGAATAACTGATAGGACAAAAAATATATTGGATATTGTCTAGTAATGAATTACATGCGTGTATGGTGATTGTGTAGATGAAATGTGTAAAATAAATTTAGAAATAAAGTTCAGACATTTCTCTCTGTTATTTAGCCAAGATATGAATAAATAATCTTTGTATTAACTTTATAACATCAATAGTCATTACTTGATGGGCTTGTTATTCAGTTAATACATTCATGTAATACTTTTGTGTATAGCATGTCCTGTAACCTGTGTGTTACCTCCTATGGGTGTTGAAATCATTTAAAACTGCTAAAAACCATTAAAAATAAATAAAAAAAGGAACACAGAATATTTGAATAACACTTATCTTTTAATTGACAAATTTGACCCTGGAGGTGGGCCTTAAGTATAAAAACATCATAAAATACTACATTATAATAATAATAAAAAAAATCCATTCTGGGTTGGCATACGTCTTAAAAATATACAACAGAGGTATACATGTATGACTGTATAGTCTGGATAGTGGAATCGCCCCTATACACAACCTGGGGATTATCTGTTGACAGTCTATATTGTATCTTTAAAAGTCAGATTTGTGCGACAGAATTCACTGATAACAAAAATGTTACATACATTGACCCCAGATAAAATAAATTGAAAATTCATGCCTGCTATTAGTGCTAAAAAATAAACCCAAAATATACTCCATGCAGTGCCTGGAACAAGAAAGCAAGATTTGTTTAACCTGATATAAGGACAACAGATATTTGGATAGAATTATACCTTTTACTCTAAAGTCTCAAAATACTTTTGTATATATTTCTTTTTCTTCATGAAAATAGATAATTCAGTAATAATCAACCTATACCTATCAGCAATAAACCATGATTAGTATTTGTTTGTAAAGTAATAATTGGAAAAAAAATGCTACCTCCTGTTAAGTAGGGAACTAAGCCATATACTAATTACTAGATGATTTCTATATATTTTCAGCTAATTCTTAGAATGATCTCCCTTCTCATGAATTTGAAATTTTTTTTTCTTAAAGAAAATGAACCAAAATACTAGCTAAGAAATGTTAAAAACTGTTAATTTAACCACTATATAAACTTTTACCAGACTTTTGATATCGTGATTATGTATCTAGGACATGCTTTTTGTAGCATTTCTGAGTTTTGAATAATAAGTTGGATAATAAGGATTCTGAAAAGAAATGCTATCTACGAAGAATTCAACCAAGTATATGTATCAGCATTAATTGCAAATGTGCATGTATAAATTGACAAGTTGGTGTTTTTAGGGGAAACTTTTAGAGTATCATGTTAGAAAAGAAATAAGCAAAGCTTGAGCATTTATGCAAAGCATTTGAAAAAAAATCACAGAGAAAAAAGTCATTTGAGAATTCCATCAATCAAATCAAAGTAAATGCTAAATAAAATAAATATTTTTTTATAAGTTAATGACATATAAAAATCACAACTGATTTAAGAAAATATTGCCATACTGGTAAAAATCTAGAAAATGTAAGACACCATTCCCTTGCTGCATGCACTTTTGAATCATTGTTCGATGAATTTGCAGAAGTTGTCAAATGCATTACAAAGACACAATAGCTTACAAATACCCTGAAATTGCATTTCTACACCAAATCCTAGATCTCCAAGTTTTTCTACATTCACAGAAATATAATATCATAATACCAGACACTAATATCATCACCAGCAAAAGGATTATGGATGTGACATTGTTCTGTGAGATACAGTCTACGTACATTTAAAAAGTATGACTTTAAAAATCCAAAGAATTGCACCACTAAGCATTTGGATACTATATATTTAAGATTTATTTATGTAATGAGAATTCAAAACGGAAAGAAAATATCTTCTCATTACTTTTCTGATTCATTTTCATAAACATTTTCAACTTTTATATGGATAATACTGGCAACTAGTTGTTTTATACACTCATCAAAATTTATCAGCTTAGACTAGCATCATAAAGTTTATGATAAAAATGTCCCAATTTCTGCCTACAAACAGTTGATTGTGTGTACCAAATAGCCTTGTTATATGTTTTAAGTTGCTATAGTTGAGAAATATTAATTTAAATTAACTTTTTGTCACACATAATCGAAATTCTTTGAAAAAATGGTTTTCAGGAAAGTTAAGCAGGTAAAATCAGGTAGGGAATTTTCAAATGAAATTTGAATGTTACGTGAAAGAAATGGTATAATTGTACATGTATGTATATAAGTGTCTGACAAATATTTTTTCATGATGATTCAAACGCAATGGCTATTTATGAACAGACTATATATAATTAAGTATGATAAAACTAATGATTAAGATAGTTTATTGGTAAGGCAGAGATATTCAGAGATACAACAATACAAATCACCCTGTGTATTTTCAGCAGATATGAATTACGACGAGAATAATGGCATGATCCGTGTATCTGTCCACAATACAGGTATAATAGGGAATGTGTATCAATATTATCTGTATATCAGTACTGATATAATAATAATTTGTCACATATTCTATAAATACTGCTGCAAAATATACAAAAAAAAACAACAAACAATCACCAACAACAATTATAACATGTTAACAAAATACAGAATACAAACAAGAGGTCGCACTGGTCTGAATCGTCCACCAGTCTCTTCTTTATTTTAATCTAAAAGTGGTAGTTAGTTTTGGAAACTTGAGACCATAGTGGCCATCTTGAATTACATACTGATTCTAAATTATTAGGGATTTAACATGACTAGGACAGTCATGAGAATATTTGTTTATATTAAAATGAATACAGTGGAGTTGAGAATCGCAGTAAAATGTCTCCATCAAGGAAGGAACAACATAAGACTGAATCTATATAAACAGTACTGTTTTTTGAGGACCATGAAAGCATGTGTTTTACCAAATAAAACAGCCGATGGAATTGGTTAAAAAAAATTACAATTAGTCTGAGAGCTGACATTGATATAACAAATTATTTCCAAAAATACAATTAAAGGTGCTCATTGTCCGCTCATAGGTTGAAAATCCAAAAGCACTTTTGGAGTGGTAGTCTTTTTCTATAAAACTATGGGTTAAATATGAAGTTGAGGAATTCTCAAGATGTGACATGGTACACAACTCAATGACAAAAATAAGACTATTTCAAACAAGTTTTTCTCCTTTGAACTTTGACCTCAAATTGTTTGGCTCAACCATACAACACCATATGGTCAGATTTATACATAATAAAAACAAACACTGAAAAGTCCATGGTTAAATTTTCTTACATATTCTTACATATTAATTACACATTAAAAATTTTTTGCCATTTTGATTAAAATATTGCTGATAAATACTTCTAAATACTGACCACGCACAACAATGAGTTTACAGTGAGCAACATTACCTGAACTTCTGTTGATATTTAGTATTGTTATAGAAAATCTTCATCATAAATTTATGGGTACAGATAATAAGTGACATTATGGTTTTCCATTGTACTGACTTAAAGCAAATGTTCCAAAATTGGACGGTCTCAACATATTGGTACCTTCATAGTCTCTGACATGAACTGGTCAGTCCGACAGATCCTGTAATCTACTGGATAGACAGTAGAAATTACTCTTTAAGTAAATCTAATGTCCTGATATGAAAAATGATTCCAGCCAAGCTGTTCTTTATATAACACTCTTTTTTCTTTTTTTCCTTGAGAAAGGCAAACACTTGGAAAATTCTACTTCAGTTTGAATCTTCATGAAATAAAATTCACTGAAATCATATCTTTTAAGCAATTTACAGCATCAATAACCAATATCTGATCAAATTATTGAAATAGGAAACTACGTACACCATTATCTTGACTCTTGATTAAGACAGTAATCTAAACAATACTGTAGATTAAAACAGGCCTTCCCAAGGAAGATAATCAATTTTCTAAAGTACCATATTACCAATTTTGCCTTTTCATAGCACAGAGTTATCTGCTCTTGTAAGCAGATACTGAATGTTAAGTTATTTCTTTGTGAGAGATTTACCCCATAAATTTGTAGGAAAAGGAGGTAGTTTTCTCATGCAAACTAATGATGGCAACAATCTCCACTCTCACAAAAGCAGACACTGGTAACTCTGCATGACCAGATTCTGGTTCATTCTAGAACAGAATCTCCATTTTTCTCTAAAACCCATTTTTTTTTCATCCCAGTTTGGAAATTTTGCTATTTTATCTACCAAACAGAAAAAAATATATTCATTCATCTTAATCTAATTTTGTGACCAAATTTTTCTTGTAATGTAAAATGTCACTTTCTTCCTTAAGGCATGTTGTCACTGTGAATTGGCACTCTATCCAATAGGAAACCAATAATCCGATTCAAACAACTTTTGTGCTGACTGGATCAAAGTTCATGTCTGCGATCTTTCTTATTATCAGGATTGATAAAACGATACCAGCAATCTGTAAAACAGCAATAACGATAAATATTAACATGTCAAAGGGTCCTTGTTAAAAGGTTTCAGAGAGAGTGGATTTACGATTGTGTTCAAAGTTCATGTTTTACAAGTGTCAGGATATAATTACAGCTCAAGTGTGATTCTAAAAGCCTGCCATCATCAAATGGTAGGCTTGTAGATGAAATTTTATTTTAGAATGCAGAAAAATTTATTTCAGAAATAAGATAAAAAAAAACACTTTCAATACCTATGTATGGTATCCTGGTATGTTCAAAAAGCAATTTTGAAACATTAAGATGATAACTTACCAGGACAAAGGAAAATCCAAATCCAATGGCAAGGATAACTCCAGCATTGTCCTCCCCATAATGCTTTGCTGCAGACATACAGCCCTTGAATGAGAACAAGAGGCCAACGACCATTACATATATTGCGATTATGTTGTCAGTGTTCTTTTCAAATCATGACAAAGTGATAAAAGAAACTTGACCTTGGAAAAAACTCATTATATATCTATTCATTAAAGCAAAGTTTGACCTCTGTGGCCCTGACATTTGACCTTGCTCTTTAGTAAAATGTATTTTTGGACAAGGTGGGGTGAAATACTTGCAGTACAGGTGATAATTTTGGGACAAGGTAGGGTGTGGAATCCACATTACATCGTAGTACAGGTTATCATTTTTGGATGAGGTGGAGTGTAGAATACTAACATTGTAGTACAGGTTATCATTTTGGATAAGGTGGAGTGTAGAAGACTTACATCATAGTCTTACATCATAGTAAAGGTTATCATTTTGGATGAGGTGGAGTATGGAATACTTACATCGTAGTACAGGTGATCATTTTTGGATGTGTTGGGGTCTGGGTTGGTTGGAGGACCGTAAGGATTTCTCTGGCAAAGATCAACATTCTGGTACTGTTGTCTGTGCTCCAAGTATACACAACAGGACTCTGGGACAAAGTTCACTTGTGACAAGTCAATCGCTGTGAAAATAAAAACAAAGTGACATAAAAATATATTCCATGCATACCCTCATCCCCGATCTCTTTATTTCAAACGTGGTCAATTATGACCTTTGACCCCTTCACACTAACAATAATGACCACTAAAATCGAATCAGGTGTAGGATTTATCACAATAATTCTAGATTTATCCAGAGTACTTTTGTTTCTATACAGCGCTTTCAAGTAACACTGACAAGGCAAGTTCAAGTGAAACAAAAGGTCCACAGGGCCTATATTGCTCACCTTGATGTTTCAAATTTCAATTCAAAACATTTTTATTCCCAATTATAGTGTTATTTCTTCTCAAAATCCTAAAGCCTCAAATTAAAGTTTGACAAAGTATCCTCATCCAAGCAGAAACGAATTGTTTAAACAGTTACCAATATTTCCTATATTTAGCCCCACCCCTGGCAGCATATCCTTGATTTACACAAAAATGAGTCTCTTTTACCCAACATTTGAAACAGGTCACTGTACTTTGATTGCAACAGGAGAAGATGGTTTTAATAAATTATATCTATCTGTCCTTATGGGCCATGCCCCTCAACTCTTAGGAGGGTGAGGTCTTACGTTAACACAAAATTGATTTCTCTTTATCAAAGGATGCATCTGACTAAATTTGAACAAAATTTTGTAATTCATCGAAAAAAGGAATTTTAAGGATTGACTAAACATCCCCTGTTGGGTCTTTCCTCTGAGGCATCGGGGGAAAAGACCCACCTTTTATGCAATATTGGATTGACTTTCCTCAGGGATGCTTCTGACCAAATTTTGAAAAATCCAATCATTCCTACAGATGAAGGATTTTAAAGAATTTTCTAACTTTCCTTTATAGCACCTGCTCATCAGACCCCAAGCCATCCACTTATACAAAATTGCAACCCCATTTCCCTAAGGATGCTTCTGACCAAATTTGGTGAAAATCCTCTTTGTGGTTCAAGTCTTCTAGCAAATCAGAAGAATTCTACCGATTCATAGGAAAAGTTGACAGATGGACAAAGGATGTTGCAGTATGCCATAAGCTGATTGGGTCATTTGGGTGAGCTAAAAAGTGTAATGGCTATCTTGACCAAATGGTTATTGTGGCTTATGCTGAAGTCTGGGTTATTTATATTCAAGTTGATGTGGTCATTTTTTAGAACAAGTTGGAGTAAAATAAGTATACCTCTTGTCACTTGGTCACGGTACCACTGTGTTTCTCTGTAAATACCATAACCGCTGTCATCTACACCACAGCATCTCAACTGCAGAAAGGAAATCATTAATATAATTATCATCTAGCTGCTATGTATTTTTTGTTAAATAACTCAATTGTCATCCAGTAAATTTGTACATGAAATATTTATTAGTGTTAAAAACCCTAGAGCATTTTTTTATTGGCCTTGCCAGTAAGGAATCGATGGTGATGTCATGATATGACAATGACGTTACGACATGATGGTGAAATTAAATGGTACAACAAAATGGCTTCTTCCATTTTATTTTACCCTGCATATTGTTACATTATGATCTATTTTCTGAATTATATGTTAAAAAGTATCTTAAATTTGATTTTCATTTCATCAGAATTTTTTAGGAAACTCATCTTATCAGAGCCCCCCAAAAAATAAACAAATAATAACTTGTTTCATAAAATCTCAAATGGAATTAAAACAAATATTTAAGAACATATAAGTATATTGTAAAGACTGTTGTTTCTAAAGGGTTCTTTATTTTGCCAGGCATTGGAATGAAATACATGTATCTGAAATTAAATACAATTAAATTCAACTTAATTACAAAGTCATCCTTTTTTGCTTCTGGCTTTTGGTGAAAGTGCAAAAATCTGAACCATCAGAAAATAAATCCCTTCATGTCAAGTATAACACAATCTCCAAACACATATCCATATCATCTGCTAAAGAATATTTTCTATTTTACATGCAAGGTCATTAGCAGATAAATTAACAAGCAACAATTACTTGAAAAAGCTTTTGTTTGCATGGGTTTATTGAACTGTGAACAGCTAGCGTTATTTTGAGAAGGGATCTCCTTGTCGTGGCTGGTTGCTACCTCACAAGACAAATTATGAGAAGGTATGTCGCATATCATCTAGAACATTCATGCTCAAGGACATAACCATATCAAACCAGCCGTTTTCTCAGAAATACCACAAGTGCGAAGCATCGAAACCTTTACTTCAGATCTCTACTTGAGGTTATATGAGCCAACGCTCTGACTGAGTGAGCAACTACGACCCCCGACTTTAAAACTTTATCAGACAATCCTTACAAATATTGGTTGTACAGAGAAGATGCAGGGAGATAAACAAAACACTGAAAATTAACTTTGAAAATATGATAATTATAAATATATAATACCGTCTTCTGAGCAAAGTCCCAGGAATCTGTAACTCTTTTATTTTCTTCATTGGAACTGATCTGGTTGCCATAACTCTGTTTCAGTGATGTCTGCATCCTGCCTGTCAGTGAACTGGTCAACTGCAAGTAACAAAGCCTCATAATAAAATGTTTCCATTTGGATAAAATTTTTCTAAAAATATCAGCAGGCTGTAGGTTGCTTCCATTTTGGTGAATTACTGATTATCATCACCAGCATTTACATACTTTAGAACTAAATATCATGAGTCAGAAACTTCCAGGAGAGAAAGATTAATGAACACGGTCAACAAAGGACTAGGTGCATTTTTTTTTAATCTTTTATGACTAACATGTATACCTAGTGTACATGAACACAAATTTTAATTTCACCACCATTTCACTATTTTCAGTTTTCCACATATTTGTTTTAGATTTTGTACATGATAGGCAGATTTTCTTTTTAAATCTTCTTGTAACATTTCATGTGATTTCTGTCTGTCTTAGCATTACACTGATCATGAAAAAATTACACTGTCTATAAGAAATATTGTACATACATTGTATATACAATTTCTAAATCCTGACAAAGAAATCTTAATTTTTTATTTACATTTTCCAACAAATTTTGTGGAATTTTCAAAAATCTTTGTATAAAATCAGAAGGAACTTAATACAAGAGGCCCATGGGGCCTTAACGGTCATCTGACTTAAAATACAGGATTTCAAATTTTGAACTTGAGAAGAAGTCGAAAATGTGTTTTCAAGATGGCGGCCATGTTGGATTTCGAACAAACCTGAAATTAACAAACTTTGGTCAGGATCATGTCATGATCATTTCAGGTAAGTTTCAGCTCAATGAGACATGTAGAACTTGAGAAGAAGTTGAAAATGTTCATGACAGACCGTTCAGTCAGATGACCTAGAAATGATATGACTTTCATGTTTCATAGAAAGCAAAAAGAGCAGAGGCTCAAGATATATCCCTATGCCCTCATCCCTACGCCCTCATCCCTACGCCCTCATCCCTACACCCTCATCCCTACGCCCTCATCCCTACGTCCTCATCCCTACGCCCTCATCCCTACGCCCTCATCCCTACGCCCTCATCTTCTTCTTCTTTCACTTTATACCATCCCGCCTCCTTTAAGTGTGAGAGGGGAGAAGAGGCCATTAGAAAGAGAACAGCTTCCAGCATGCTTCATGACTTAGTATGAAAGTTATGACCATTCTTTGTTCATTGACTTACCTCCCCTTGGAACACTGCTGCTATGATAGCTGCTGATAGGAATACTATGAGAATGAGGATGAGAAGGAACACATACTGAAAAAAAAGATACTGTCATTATCACCAGTTCACATCAATGACTATAATATACAGCTGAGTATTGTCTTTCTTGTTTCAGATCCTATATAAACACTATTCATACTGAATGAAATTGAACTCCCTGGATTATGAATGTTTTTGCATTTTGACAATGTTCAATTCTTGTCACTTTCAATAGCAAGATATACTTAGATTAACCTCAAATAATAAAGAAAATATTTAAAAGCCTGAATGATAACTATGAAGTCAAAATACTATATAAATTGAACATATTGAAGTTCTGTATAACGTGACAAGTGGTACCACACCAGGTCAAATACCTCAAGTGACAAGTGACACCATATCAGGTCACCTGTCTAAAGCGATAAGTGACACCACATCAAGTCACATATCTCAAGTGAAAATAGACACCATACCAAGTCACCAACCTCAAGTGACACTGTACCAGGTCACATATCTCAAGTCACAAGTGACAAGATATTAGGTCAACAACCTTAAGTGACAAGTAACAACATATCAGGTCACCTTCCTCAAGTGAAAAGAGGCCATACCAGGTCACCAACTTTAAGTGACTAGTGTGACCGTCACATTATGTCTTCCTTCATGAGGTGACTACATGAAGAATATCAATCTATAGTCTCCTAAGTTCTCCTCATTCATTTTCTTTTGCAAATTTTTATGAACCTGAACAAAATATCAATTAGATTACTTACATATGAAGCGATTACTTACATATGAAGCAATTACATGTAGTGTATAGCTCTGAAAGGCTCATACAAAAAACTTTTATAAATCTTCAAAATGATTACCTACCACAATCGAAAGTTTCTTGCTCTCCAACACAGCAGCTGAACATCCCAGGAAAGACAAGATCAGAATACAAGACCCACAGAAGATAAAGAGGTAGGAAGCAGCAGAAAACAGGTCTGTTCCAATGATATCAGCTATGAACAGTTTGTCCATAGAATACCAAACACCCACACCTAGGGCTGTTCCACCAGCAATCTGTTGACAAAACAATGGACTTAAAGACAATCTTTGATCATTTTCCTATAACAAAACATTATTGATAAACAGACAATTATACATATCTTAACAATTTCTTTGGAATCTTGAAATGGGGAAAAAAAATCAATTAATCATGAATGAAATAGGTTGTACCCCTAACAACCATTGCAAACATTCTGTATGACTGTATGTGCAACTTAATTAAGAATTAGTTATGGGAATCAGTTTCAGTTTCCTATCAATACTTGAAAACACATAATTGATCAGTAATTGATCATTAGCAGTTTTATGTATTAACTACATAATAGTTTGAGTTCTTTTTTCTTACATTAAAAAGATTTTTAAAGTCAATGTTCATTTGAAGTTTTGAATATGTTGATATCCTGGTTTCTTTTTTTTTCTTTGCTCTCTCTCTATATATAGAGGATACTATCTGAGATCTCCGAGTCATTTTAGAACTCTATGGTGGTCAGGTGACACAGTGGTAATACACTTGCCTTTCACCTAAGACATCCAGGGTGCAAGTATGGGGTTACCTGGCCAACCACCTTGGTTTCCCCCCGATTACTATGGTTTCCTCCCACAATAGACCCCTTGGGCCCACAAGAGTGATTAATATAAACTGATAGCTGAGTCAACTATTATTGTAAATTAAATAATTTAAAATCAGAAATTCTATCGATTAATCATCTTTGCAATTTTGGCATCAATTAATTGGTTTTAGTTTCCTTAATCAATTAATTTTCATTGATTTGCCCATTACTAAATAGTAATGATGGATGTGATACTTACAAAGAGCAGAACATTTGTAACACCAAGGAGAACTCTCAATAAACCTTTAGATAACATGGTCAAGTTTGCTGTATGTTCTGTGAAAAAGAGAAAGGTTACAAATGTATATATGAACAGAAATTTCAGAGTTCACCTCAATACTCAAGGGGTTCTGATCACTTTCACTCCCTGCATCCTTAGAACATTCTATGGCAAAATTTAAGGCTTCATGTGTGACACCTTCAGGATAAGACAGAAGACTAGTTTGATAATTTGATGTACATTAAACAAATCTCAAGGTCACATAACATGTAAGCTGTACTGGCTTTGTAATCTTCTAGAGAGCACATCAGTCTGTGATTGGTCAGTTATTATCTTCCTGAATCCAGCTCTAGACCAATCAAATTATTTCGCTTTTTCTTTAATTTTTTGCCATGTAATTAATGTCCCAGTGGTGCCAAAAGTCAAAGCGATTTTAAAATCTGTAGTGTCCAGGAATTTCGGCATTTTCTGCGTCCAATTATCGTCATAGACATTAATAGATTTCAGAGGACGTACTATAGCACTTCCAATGTTTGTTGTAAAATTCAGATACGGGTATATGTAGAGGTGCATTGTATGTCAGGAAGTGCTTTTTGAGAATAGCTACAGACAATGACCTATTCATATTCACTGGCTGAAACATATATGTTATGATTTTCATTCGGTATCAAAATTTTTAGTACATTTAAATGTAATACAGAACATAATGGACTGCCTCTAAATAAATAACATTATACCAGCTAAATGAAATAATGGTATGATAACTTCAGATTGTACAATAATCACCTGCATTGTAATTGCACTTGGATTGCATTGCACATGTAAATAATTCTTAAAAATAATTTAAAAAAAAAAAAATCCTATTTTTCGCAAATGTAACTCATAATACAAATAGCTTGGACATTTCCAGATAACTCATAATACAAATAGCTTGGACATTTCCAGATAACTCATAATACAAATAGCTTGGACATTTCCAGATAACTCATAATACAAATAGCTTGGACATTTCCAGATAACTCATAATACAAATAGCTTGGACATTTCCAGATAACTCATAATACAAATAGCTTGGACATTTCCAGATAACTCATATTACAAATAGCTTGGACATTTCCAGATAATATATATTTTCTTATTTGGTTATTTTGGAAAGTACTTTATGACATAAATGTATCTTATTTCACACAATTAGATTTTACAGTACAGGTATCAATACACCAATATCTGTGATTTGAACGACAACAAGGGAATAAACATATCACATAATCATTTCCAAACTCAAATTCAATAAAATAGGGAAAAAATTAGCATAATAAAGAATATCTAAGAAATTTCTAAATATGTACAAGGAGAATAAGACCAGGTGTTCCAAAAGAGTAAGTGTCTTCTGCTTCACTGACGGCATCCCCATGAATGAATATCTTGGTCAATCTTAGTAAGTAATGTCACATTCTCCAATGAGAAGGAGATATATACAGCATCAGAACCAACAGACAGACTAATGAGCATGAAGCACATTCAGATTTATATCGCAAACAGAAAAGAATATTTCTCTATGATATCAATACGACGACATTAAAACTTCCCCATAAGGAATGTGATGGGAGTTCTAATGTCTAGACATGTCTTGTCCACTTAAAGGCCGTAAGGCCATAATATCTCTTACATAAATAAGCTCTAATGTCCTGTGCATTATCTCATTTCCATTGGTGCTCAGAACTTGATACCACCAACAGATTGATAATAAATCACGCTAGGGATAGAACATTGCAGTCAAGCATTGTGACAATATTAATGACTATCAGGTGACTTTTATACCTCATACCATTTAACAGTAGAATCAATTTCTGAACCGAATGAAAACAAGACTCTATAAAGACGACTTTGACAGATAGATTTGTGTTACTGTTTCAGAGAACTGTTTCAGTAAATTCGTACTACTGTTTCCGGCAGGCTATGAGAGATTTCTGCTAATTCCTATGTTCGCACGTACATACACATGCAGGCAAACAAAACGGTTACGAAACAGGTAAAATACAAATTTATATGTATATACAATAACATGTGAGTCAACCTATTATACAATGATATTCGTTATCATCGGCTTCGGATCTAGACCCCGGATATATTTATGTATTTTTTCAAATTTTCGTAAACTAAATCTAGGAACATCAAACACGTTAAATTAAATATTATGGATGGGGACAAAGTGATCTCCGTAAAGTTATCGGACAGGTGAGTAAAGCTATATACATGTATTTAAAATCCAATTCCGGTAGCTGGAATACTTACAGTAAGCAGCTTGTAGTTTATTATAAATCCCGGCTAATAACATGTGGAACTCTTCACTTAAGGAGTACAGAAAACATCCGGCACACCTGTGGCCTCACCTACAATGACATACCTGGACAATGACCTTCGAGCAACAGACAGGCGATAGAGTTCGACGCCCGACAGGAACAGTGTTTTTTTTTGTTTTTGTTTTTTGTTTTTGTATCTTTTAAAGATATTTTTAAAATAATGCTCAATGTATATCAAAATTATTTCTCAAGGCATATTTTTCTAATAAATAAATAAATCAAGTTTGAATTTCCTCTCATTTCATTTCTTTATTGAGACAATTTACGAATTATAAATGAAAACAAATAAGTATCTATATATCAACCTCTCATCAAGCGATAGTGTTAGTGTCCTGACGGGAAGACCGAGACACGTCCTTTCCATTCCGAAAATGAGTTACAAATTGCAACAAAAAATTGCAGTCTCGTAAATTTTCTGCACAAATTTATGAAGGAGTTGAATATCTATAAAATCAATCGAAGCAGCACATCCTATATGCTATTACAACCAGACAAATTAAATGCTAGTGTTACTCTCTGGATCGACATGGAATAAATTGAATCATATGTACAAAATAACTACAGTTACCGACACAATTATTCTGTCGTTATATGGACTTTTATATATCGGTCTGGAGTTAACTAGTCCATCCAGTTCTTTTGTTTTGTGAATGGAGGGATTCAAACCACTGACTGTCAACCAACCAGAATGTCTTTGATTTATTGTTGTGGTATAGAAATTGTGGTAGATATAGGATCTTAGATCAGTTTGAATTTCATATGTTATATCATGAAACGAGCCTGGGGAGTTTTATTTTTGAGTGCCTTGACAAGCATAGCTTAAAACTTCGAGACAAATTTCATACAATTTCATAGGAAATGAAAGCATATGTAAGATATTTTTATCACATAACTCAGCGAAAATTATTTTGGCAGATTTTGAAGTCAAAACGTAGAGGGGAAACACAAGCAAACCAAAAACAAGCACATGGAGGCAGCCATTTTGTTTCGATTTCTTAATTCATATTATGACGTCACAATCCATTTTATGACATAACAATCAATTTCTGACTGGCGCAAGAGATTCGCCAAAAAGATGCCAAACCGGAGTAAAAAGACGCCATCTTAACTTCATGTTTGCTTTGGTTTGGCATCTTTTAGTTTTACGGGTTTACATCTTTTCGCTTCTGCGTGTAGCTACTTTTTCGTCCTTTCGTTGTGGCGGATTTCTGCATTTTCCTTATTTTTATTTTCACTTGACGTCATAACGCTGGCATCAAATCGAAAAGATGAAAGGTCGTATTCAAACCACCATGTTAGATATTGTCAACGAATAACTTACCGACTAGATTTTCGCTTCAATCAAAATCTACAATGGGCACACAGTCTTTTAGAGTGTGGTGTTTTTGCTTAGTTTCTGTAGTACTAGGATGTTATTCGTAACAAATACCGTATAGTTTAGATGTTTTGAAAAGCCCGTAAATTAAAAATAATTACACGGACAACTGTTTGTTACCCCGATTACGTCGTCAATAAAATTCCCATATATCCTCAATCACACAGTTTTAAGTGCTCATAGATAAGACAAGATTCTGGTGCTGCAATACACCCACCCTTGATAAGTCTTCTGAATACTGGTGCACGTAAAATGTATGCAATCCTAGTGTTTCAGTGGGTTTTGTGTATGTTTGCTATCAAAAACACCTGGGTTTCAGAGTGTTTTGAAATCTAAAAACCCTTTAATACCTAGCTCGTCCATCTGTCCGTTTTTTGGTTTCTGTGCAGTATCTCAAATTCTGTTGGCCAATGGCACTCATACTTTATGCCAAGCCTCCATGAAGGAAGTGCTTGCTTTGGGGCGTGGAGCTTTTCATCTCCCAAAGTTAAAGGTCAAGGGCACTGTTACTATAGATAGATACCTCAAGTTTGCTTTGGCCAATCAAACTTTGCTTTGGATCGTTTTTCAGGTCCCAGGGTCAACTTTCCAGATTTCTGTTACTCTAAGAAGAAATTTGGTTTGTTTGATATAACTTGGGTACCTTTGGGCCAATCAAACTCAAACTCCATATAATGCTTTCTAACAGAAAGTGCTTGCCAGGGAATACTTTTCAGACCCAGAAGTCAAAGGATGAGGTTATTTTTGCTATAATGGAAAATCCGTTTCATGGAACGGCTTGAGTTTGCCGTAGCTAGTCTAACTCAAACTTGATGCAATGCTTTATAAACCAAACGTGCTTGTTTGAGATATATTGCCATTCAGGTCCAAAGGTCAAAGTTCAGTGTAACCATAAATTGAAATCAATTTCTGTGTGATAACTGGAGTTTGCTTTGCCCAATATAAATCAATCTTCTTACAATGCTTCCTTACTAAAAGTGCTTGCTTGGTATATTGCTTTTTATATCCCATGTTCTAAGGTCAAGGTCACTGTTACTGTAAATAAAAAAAGTCAGATTATTAAATGTATTTGTGTATGTATGTTGTGTTTTTGTAACAGTCTTTCTTGACTGTTGTGGCAGAGATTGAGGACTTGCCATTAATCTGACAGTCTGGGGTGTGTGTGTCTAAGGGTAGGTTGGTGGGGTGGGTTGGTGGAGGGGAGTGATGTTCAGCCACATAGCGGAGCCCTTGCTGACCTGTCAGTGTTCTAGCAAACTTTCTTTATAAAATAATGTAAACCAAAAGATTGCAAATGA